TAGAATTTTTTAAAAATCTTTGTGCATTTTCCTTTTCAAGTGCCAAAAGCAATCACTGAAAAAAATCAGGGGGTCACCGGGTTAGTTTTCAAATTTTTTAAGCCACCAGCTAAAAAATGCGTCTGAATAAGCCTATGAAAGTGTTGCCATGGAAACTGCTAGTGACCAAATGACACTTATTTTTGGATAACCAATGATTATGTAATTCAACCCCGTAAAAGTGTTCAACTGGCCTTGGTCAGTCTTTCTGTTGTATTCTTTCAAAGTTACAAACCATCAAAAAGATGAAAACCGGTATGAGCCACCTTAAACGCATGTTTTAATTTCTTTGAGTGAGTATTTTGATTTATAAGACACTTGAGAAGCACTTACTTTTTTGTTGGGGGTTACATGACATCAGGCATGCCCTGATGATGTCTTGAACAGGCTTTCACCCAGTCAAATATGAGCAAAATAATGGCATGGTATAGACAACTGAATTTTCTCTAATAATGGCCCTAAAAGATGGTGCAGTTGGAAGTTATCACTTTTTTGAACTCCTAGGCATTGTTATATACCAGTATCTGTATAATGATGATGATTACATTTTGAAATAATTAACAGTGTTTTTTTTTTTTTGTCTTTTTAATTTATAGACCACAAAAGGTATAACAGCTGTTAATCTCACAGCATTTGCCAAGAATATCAGTGATCTTGGTGATGCATATCAGAACGCAGGAAACATGTTTTCTGGAGTTAATGCAACTTATGCAGCTGAGGCTTATGTAAGTTCACAATTTGTTGTAGGAAATGTAAGTTTTAATTAGACTGTTTTTAAAATATTTTAGATTGTAATCCCCAGGACCTCTTGTACAAATAGATCAGAAGCCTTGTTGTTATATCCCATAATGATAACAATTGTGTTGATCAATCTGTTTCATGCTGTTTCAGAGTTTGTTTTTTTTTTTATTTATGTGACTATTTGAGTCTGGGTGATCTCATTTGACCACAGTGGAAAGCCATTATAGCCCCAGATTACTCTTCTTGCTCAATTGGATATTACTTTAAAATCATCTCAATGTTCCTGTTTTTGTATACTTCTAGAGACTGGGAAACAAGTCACATGACACTGCCCAGGCCCTGCGCAATTTACAGGAGGATGTAGTCAAGGATATGGAAATTAAATCAGTAAGGAAATCCACTTTCCTTTCAATATGGTTTTGCAATTTTAGATTTACAAAGGGTTTATCATGTAACTAGGATTCTTAACATTGGTAGTAGTATCTTTAACCAAGTTTAAAAAGCTGCCAAAAAAGCCAGTTAGGTAGCATTAGCTGCTAAGGAGGTTCACAATCTTGCTCCCCTGGGAGGTTTTTATTTAGTTGTATTACACAGCTTTCAGAGGGGAGATTTATTTGCCTGTTGGTTGAAATAATTATCATGTTTTATTCAACTATTGCATAATTTGTAAATAGAATATGAAAGATGGTAAGTTCTGAGCCAGGTAAAGAAATAGAGAAGTATTTTTGTTTTGTTACATTGTACATAATACACGTGTCATAATTAGTATGTGCATAGGGTATTTCATGTAAGTGATGTATTTGTTAATTTTGTAAAGTATAACCACTCAGTAAGTTGCTCAAGGTAATGCAGCTCAATTGGTGAATTGTGACACTGGCTTAATTACTTTATGTATATTTTTGTTACAGAAAGAGTTAGATACAAACGTGAAGGAACTGCGAACCATTGGTGGATAACTCTCGGTAAATGTTATTTGGTCATCATTTAATTGATAGCATGGCTTAAGAAACTGTAGGGATGAAATTACTGTCTTATTTTTTTTTCTAAATGTTTTTTAACTTTCCCAAGCAGAAATACATCGGAAACTAACAGTTTTTGATTCATTTAAGGAGTTCACTGCTGTGTAAACTCTTGCAAAACATGGAATAAACTAACTGCACTTAAAGAGATGCCTATTGCTTAATGAGGTGCACTTCAAAAGTTCTTTCAATTTCCTTGGTTAACCATAAGACCATTCTGGCAGATTTGCAAAGGAAATGGTGTCATGGAAAATGATTTTTTTCATCATGGTAGATGAATGATCATCTAGTCATTTGTCTCTTGAGGTCAAGACAAAGAAAGGCTACACAGTTTTAGTGATTTTGACATTTCGACAACTGTATTGCCAGTCTGTCAGGTGATGAGGTCAGAAGTTTCTCTGTTGCTATTTATAGCAAATCAAGGTACCATAACCAAAACCAAACAACCGTCAGCAAACCAAGGTGTTATAAAAGGCAACATGGAAACTATTGACCTGATGGCCTATCTAAGACTTGCAGTATGATAGTCAAAATGTTGTGATCAGTACAACTGATTGTCTGACTCTACTTTGTGAGACAAACATTTAAATGGTCATTTATTTGTTGAAATGGTATCAGATTGAGAAAGAGTCAAAATGTATGTGAGCTTGAGTACCCACTAAAACATGATATGTGTTCTATAACAGAGTCTTATTTGACCATGATCTCCTTAACACAGCAGTGAGTTTCGCTTCAGAAAAATGACTGCTGAGGTAGATCACTCTTTTAGTTGTTGATTTGACTTTATTTTGATTTAAGACACTAGCAAACAACACTTTAGGAAAAGCAGAGGAGGCAGAGAAATTTCTTCATACTCGATCAGCTTCTAACATCAACAAAGTAAGTAACTAAGTTTAGGTATCATGACGGCTATTGCACACTATGGTGGCCTACAACTGTCACATCATTTTTAATGTCACTCACATCAAATTAAAATCACTCGCATCAAATTAAAATCACTCACATCAAATTAAGATCACTCACATCAAAATAAAAATACTCACATTAAATTGAAATTACTCACATCAAATACAAATCGCTCACATCAAATACAAAACGCTCACATCAAATTCAAATCGCTCACATCAAATTCAAATCGCCCACATCAAATTCAAATCGCTCGCATCAAATTCAAATCGCTCACATTAGATACAAATCGTTACATCAGTTGGTCAGCGGCTAAGTCAATGAATGCTATCCCCAATGTTTACTTGGTCTTCCACTTTACCGCCATTTTGTACAACCGTTTTGTACGATCGTTCTTTGACTGGACACTAGTTCATTGATCAGAATTCTAGCAAATATGTATTGTACTAATTGTGGGAGCGATGTTGAAAACTGCAAATTATGCAGAACCTGTGGCAAAGGTAAGAGAAATGTTGCACATATTTTGCTCTACATTTATATTATGGACGATCGGTGAGATCCAGTGTTGCTCATTTCGGCTCAACATCAACTTGCACGTGTGAAAGTGAGATTTCGGGAAAAGAACAATCGTACAAAATGACGGTAAAGTGGAAGACCGAGTAAACATTGGGGATAGCATTCATTGACTTAGCCGCTGACCAATAGATGTAACGATCTGTATTTGATGTGGGCAATTTGTATTTGATGTGAGCGATTTATATTAGGTGTGAGCGATTTGAATTTGATGTGAGCGATTTGAATTTGATGTGACTGATTTATATTTGATGTGAGCGATTTGAATTTGATGTGAGTAACTTTATTCTGATGTGAGTGATCTTAATTTGATGTGAGTGATTTTAATTTGATGTGAGTGATTTTAATTTGATGTGACAGTTGTGGGCGACCGTAGCACACTATGTACTCTAGCAAAGTGAATGTAATTGGTATTGAAAAAAGGTCTATACTATTGGATTAGAAGATTTTCAAATAAATAGCGTGCTCCGGGAGAGCCTGAATAGGCAATATGATCAGGGACAATTATCTTAGTGAGTGGTTATTTAAAAAACAAACAAAAAAAAAAAGAAAATGCACAAAAAACAAACAAACAAATACACAAACAAATGAACAAATTGGAGGTCAAAAGAATTTTAAGCAATCACTGGTGAATCCCCATAAACGATCTGGCTGTGTCCAAGGTCATAGTATTGAGATGATTTTTCTCTCAGTCAGTTTTACGTGTAGCAGACGTGAGGTCAATTGTCACTGTAACATGCAAGAGTGTTGAATTGAAAGTGAAAAAAAAAGATGGTTAATAATTCAGGTGTTTATCAATTTTCTGCATGTGGTTGCCATTCTTAACCCTAATTTCTGTTGTTTTTCTTTTGATGTAGATTGTAGAAGGGTACACGGAGCGAGTGTTAGGTTGGGGATTTCAATTCACAGACCACATTGAGTACCTTGTAAGTGATGGCTATAATTATAGTAATTTAGACTTGTGAAGCTGCTTGATACCTGAAATGGGGAACAAGCTTAAGTTTTGATCGAAACCATAAGGTTATCCTTGAAATTATTAGTGTTAATACTAGAGCATTTTTCTGTTGACTGTCAAAGGCTACATTTAGTTTTTCTCAACTGTGCATTGTTTTTGCCACAAAATAGTTTTAAATTGTATGTATTTACTTTTGGGTTTGGTTTTATGATCTGATACTCAATTAAAATGTTTTCTTTTACGTTCTGTGGTAGGGTTTGGTATGAGAAAGATTGTTATTATTATTATTATTATTATTATTATTATTATTATATTTGGGTGTATGTCTCAGGTTACAATAATTATATTGTTTTTTTTTTTCTTTCAATCACATAGCTAAACAACCAATTGGCCAAATGTCAGCCTGTGGCGAACATTTATGATGCAACTATTGTTATAATCTGCAAGCAAGCCCTGTACCCATTTGTAAGTCACATCTTGTTGAACTTTGATTTACTTTGATCTTTGGTATGCGCACATATTTCATTATCCGCTTGACAATTTGCGGCAAAACACAGCAGTAAACTACGTCGTTTAAAGGGATTTATTGTGAAATCTGCTTGATGAGTCAACTGACTAACTTTCAGACCAACCGACTGTCACGAGTGATTTGTAGTATCGATTTTTTTCAAACAAATTGATAATTAATAGTTAATAATTTTCAAAATAAGTTGTTAACTGGACACACATAATTTCTTTGTTTTTATTATGTTTTCAGAATGGTTTCTGGTTCTCCATTGGATATTGTCTGTTCTTTTTCATTCCTGCAATAATTTTCTGTGTTAAACTTGCTAAACATTACCGCAGAATGGATTATGAGAGTGACTTTGATCAGGGACTCGAGTCGTAAGTAACTTATTGTAAAAACTTTGTGTTGTATGATTTACGCTGGTGCTTTTCTTGAACTGGACATCTGCAGATCTTTTCTGTTGAACTCTCTTAACACCTAAAATCTTTCTCAATTTTCATTTGGCAGTTTTAAAATTAAGTATAACTCTTGTTTTGTTTTTATTCTCTGAGTTTTGAGTGTAGATGTAGACAAGTTATTGCTTCATCAAAATATTGAAAACTTACGTAGTAAGAACTATATAGTATTAACTTTAATTTTTTCACATGGCAAATTCCTATAAAGTGTAGCTAAATCTAATAGGTGCTGTACCCTAAGAATAACAGTTTTTTTTTAGGCAAGAGGACTAACTAGAATTATGGTTGTGTTTGCTCAATACTTAAAGCATTGTTGAGATTATTTTCAATTTTATTTTCACTTTGTTGTCTGTGCAGGGAGATGTTTGAAATGGGGGGACAGCATTATCCGTCAGCCCCACCCCATTACCCCGCGTAAGTTTGGTTTACATGTGTATTTTAAATTTTGAGGTTGTTTTTGTTTTCCTGTCAATAGATGGGAAGTTTATTCTAGATAGATTAACTCATGTTTGGGTTTGAACTAAATGACCGGTGATGTTGTTTCTCACTCTAGGGCCAGCGAAAAGAAACAGTGGGCTAACCCCAAGTAGGTGATGGAAATATTATTAATTACTTTAATGTTAATTCATTGTCAAACCTACGTGCAGTATGATTTGGGAACGTCATACTTGCATTCATTCAGTGACTCATTCATTCCTCCATTTTCTCGATTTCTATATCTAGTTACCGGCCTTTCCCACCCACTTGTTGAAATTATTTCGTTTTCGAAATATTTGTCAATTTTCATCTATTCGTGCGTTTTTTATATGCTGAATCATTATTTTCTTTTTCATGCCTGACCAAACTAAAAACATTTAACATGCATTGACTTGTATTTAAATCGACTCATTGATAGGTTTATTAAATGATAACATTGAACTGGGATTTTACTCTAAAAAAGAGGTTCTTCTAATATCTTAACTTCAGATAAATTTGCTGTTGCTAACCATTTAAAGGTGAAGGGTACAAATATAAATCAGACAGATCATAAGAAACCTCATGAAACCGTTTTAACATTGGTTGAAAGCTAAACTGTAAAGCTAACAAGTAATTTGGACGCGGGCTTTGTTTTCTTAACACAAACCATTAGTTTTTAACGGAGAATGCTTGGTGTTGGGTAACGCGCAGGAGGTTTGCTCGCCCTCGCAACAATCTTTTCTGTGCCATTCCGTGATACATGCATGAAGAGGTGGTCCAAATTTAAGGTGGCTCTTAAAAGAAGTTGCATGAGGGTTGGTTACTACTTGAGTAGCTCGAATATTGACGTCTGGGCAAATTTAAGTCGTAGCGTTAGTCTTGGAGTGCTACCTTAAACCCAGCAGTCATTATCAGGGAAACTATTGCCCTCCTTATCACAAGCGCGTGCTTGTTAAAGGGCAAATTTTCTTGTCAGCCACTATACAAATAAAATTTTGCCATCTGTAATCTTGAAGTTCATCGTTCAAAACCCTAGACAAATAAGTTAATTTCGTTGGGAATCGTTGAGTAATGTCCCCCAGTAATTGGTGATTGGCTTAAGATTGGAGAGATGTGAGGTGGTGATACCTTATTGTGGTAGGAGTGGCATTGACGCACCCGAAAAGTGGCTACGTGAGGCAACATGTATTGCGTTAATGGTTTTCTGTGTTGTGTGATTTAATACTATGTGGTGATTCCTCTGCCAGAAATGCTGTCTATCCCCAGGCTCCTCCAAGCAGATACTAGCGCGGGTTTGTAAATTTTAAAAATGTTTCTGCGCCTAAAGCACAAGTGCTGCTGTGTTTGGCACAGAAAGAGCCCAGAGAAGTTATTTGAGTGTCCATTGTTACGAGGCCGACTGTTTCTCATCGCACAACTGCTTGTTGACCTCTGCAAAACTGTCCTTCCATTTGGGTGACTGGACTGATGTTGTAAGCCTCTTCCCCCGACAAACGCAGCTCCTAGCAATTTTCCCTCTGATTGGCTGTTACATGTAATTGCTCGTGACGAATTGGAGCAGCGTTCAACCGGAAACTCCTAGGGAACTCTGAAAGTTCAGGCTCGGCAGCGCTTGTTGCTTTGGCATGTTAGCTTATAAAATAAACTTAAATGTCGATAAAAATGTTTTCTTCTTGCTTTTCTAACTCTTCTAGCTGTAATGAAAAATGCTGAAGTCTTTCTTAAAAATTATGTGATAGAGTAGACCTGCAAATAATGTTTGATTTGAAAGATTTCATTTGTTTGATCGCGAGCAGTATTCATAATTCGAGAAACTTTTGTAAACTATCGGGGAAAATATCCTTCCATCTAAAATCTTCTCCAATACTTGCGCATAGCATTTTTCGTCACTAGGATTTAAACTGGAATATTCTTGATCTCTGTATTGTCGTGTTTAAAGTTCAATATTTGATAGCGGCTCCTGAATTTTCGATTGAAAGTGTTCCCATAACGTTTTCATTTTTGCTAACTAGTGAACCTTAAATACATTCAGTGTTCGCTGTTACATTCGAATAAAAAAAAAAAATAACTCGACTTTCCCTCACTAAGAACAACGAACTGTTAAATATCTTCCCAATAAACACGTAGAGAGTTATCATTAATTGAGAGATTATGAAAGGGCTGACCAAAACAAAAATATAAAAGACTGTTACTCTAATTCATTTCATGTCTTAATATTTGGTTTAAGGAAAATAAGGTTATAAGTAATGAAATACTAGCAACAGGCAGTCGTTGCATGGAACTACTGCCGTTTTGTAGTTGTAGTTCGAGAAAGAAAGATCAAAAATGTCTTTCTTTCCTTCCTTTTCTTCGTGGAACTTGGTAGTCATAGAGGAAGTCAGACATAACATCGGCATAACTTAATCAATGCTTTCTTATTCGCTGTCGCGCTGTGGCGAGTTGTAACTACCGACCGCCATGTTTGTCAATTGGTAGTCTTTGAAATGATAAACTATGCCGTTTTCGCCAACATCTAGCTTTGTTCACTGAATATGATGTTCACACGTATATTCTCTAGTGGACAGATAAAAGCCCAAGAGAAAAATTTGACGGCTTTTTCGGTTTTTTTTACAACCAACCCTGACTTGTCTGTTTGATTTTGACGCAGCTCTGGGCTTCCGAGGTGACGTGGGATTAAATTTATGCAAACTCGGCAAGAATTCTGTCGATTTTCTCTCTTTGTGACCGATATGGTCAAAGCCATGCATTTGTTGTCATAATTGAAAAGCTTACTTGGTAGTTTTTTTCCTCAATTTGTCTCCTGCGGCAGCGACAAACTTCGGACAGTATTTCCGATTATTTTCGCAATATTCGCAAAGTACAGAAGTGTCAATGGCTCCCAAGATTTTCCGCCAATTTGACGGCCTTGAAGTCGGTTGCATCGTTTTTCGCGCCAAATTCAATTTCGCGTTCCCCAAGTAGCGTTTCATTGGAATCTTCAAAAACATTTTTGATTCCTGGTAAAAGCCATTTGGTTTGCCATCTCAAGTTAAGGCATTTCTACTCATTGTTTACTCAGTTTTCCTCTAGTACGGAGGCATTTTTACAAACCTTCAATAACTGATCATGGCTAACACGTTTTCCTGCCAACTTCGACGCCGTCACGTCGGCTGCCCGTATTTTCGCGCCAGATTCGGTTTGTGTTCTTCTACTTATAGCTTTTCCCTCAAACGGCGTTTAAACATGATGGAATTTTCGTTGTGTCTGACTTCCGAAAAACAGCGTTTGGTTTGCACACGCCATGTTGCCGTGTGTTTGTTTAGTACTAGGAACAGATGAGGTCAAAATGTGGTAAGAACAATAAAGTGACAAAGGGGGCGCATGCGCTCAGCCGAGTGTGTCACTGATTTCTATATCACATTTTACGTCTTCTTTGATATATTTCTACTAAACAGACTGATGGCAACATGCCAGCTGTTTGTTTCATATTACGAAAAAGCAAAATGTTGTTAAGGGTCACGTCGTCAGTGCGTCTTTTCTCCAATAGATCATAAGTAAGAACCAATCAGAAGGCGTGCATGGAGCTTATCATACAATTTTGTGTTTTCTTTCGTTCTAGTGGATATCAGAACGGGACTAACCGCTACTAAAAAACTTCAGCTGGAAGAACAAGAGTTCCATTCGAAATCAATGTGCAGAGTAAATTTTACACCAACAGGTTACATACGGATTGATTAGTCAACAAATAGATCATCTACCTGAAGATAATGAAATTAGTTTGTATTTAAAGTTAATTTAGTGTAACTCAGTATTTTTCTTGACTACACAGCGCTAGATTGTGATTCCACATCAGAGGCATTTGCTTCCAAGCTTATGTTTGGTAAGAGGGGGGGCGTGGTCAAAAGACAGGTGTGTATGGTGGAAGTCCAATCAGAGGTTCCTGATTTTCTTTTTCCGTTATTTTTTTCGTGAGGGGTGGGGAAGGCGCTATACGTTCATTGCGCAGACCCCGTATAGGGACTAGTGTGTAACTTCAATATTTCAACAAACAAATCAAACTGGTATTTACCAATTCTTCTGCAGTGATGACTTTGAACTTTTTGTTATAGCCCCCCCGTGAGGTTAAAAATTATTATCAATTATTAGACCTTTCGTGTGACTGATATTCGTTAAACATATTAGACAGTTGAAAAACTTTTTGAATAACCAAAAGTTTGCAGAAATACATGCTTTGTAAGGGAACTTTAAACAGAATATTGCGAATGACTTGACGTGACATGTTTGACCTCAAAACGGTGGAAAGATTGCGTGACGGAGAACGAGAAGATGAGCAACATTTTATCAGGGACATAACGTTCTTGTCTGACCCAAACGGTAGCTGTTTGTAGAATTCACGCAGGACGTGAAGATGGAGGAAACGACATAATTTTATACAATTGATTTCAGGGGTAATGTAGGTCTCCATATGTTAAGTACACTGATTTCAAAAGAAAATGTTTAAAACTAGTTTATGTTGTATTGGAATTCGGTACGGGTAGAAAGGAAGAAAGGTCTCTGAGCAACTACACACCTGCCCTTCCCCTAATTAACCTTTTTTTTCTATCGGTTGACTGTTGTTTGGATAGGGGATGGGTAGGGGTGCAGTAGCCCAGATACTGACTCTGACTCATCTCTTAGTTAACGTTGTATAAAGAACACGTGAAAAGAACCTAATGAACTCTAAAGAGTTCTTGTGTATTTCTTAATTACTCCAGTCACGTAATTTTTCCCCTCTTGCTGAAAGAAATTTTGTAAATAGTTCAAGTGAGCTTTTTAGTCGGGTAACCATATTCATTATTTCTCGAAATTCCATTGACCGCAGTGGTTTTATTTATAGTGAGGGCAAAATACTGTGTAATGGCGAATTCTTCCATATTGTTTCTCACGAGTTTGAAGTATACCAAACAAGCTTTTTAGAACAGTAAATTCTCTAAGAAGTGATCCCCATTTCACAGCTTGAAATAACCACACAGTTGGCTTCGAAATATAGGGTGGTCGCACTGTATATCAGTTAAAGCTTGCAAGAGAAACCAGAGCTAACAAGTAATTTCTGGTGTTCTTATATCACAAGTGTGTTTGTAATATTTTCACGAGGTTGTGATGCTAATTTTTTCAGTGCAGTTTGCTATAAAGAACTTTTTATAATACTTTTTATTTCTCCTTTTTATTTACCTAAGTGTTCATTTGCCTGTGCCTGGGTTGTTTTGTGGAGGGTGTTGGTGTTAAATGCCAAGGATTGTTGTTTGTGAAGGTTACTGTGAGTTCGACACTCTCGGGTAGGCAAGCTAAATTGCCACGGAAATTTTGTCCCGCCTGACTGGGTAAGCTAACTTATCGAGGCAAGAATACTCGCTTACCTGTTTTATCCTTCCCTCCTCCTCCCGCCGAGACAGTTCGCGATTCTCCAGCGATCAATTGGTTGAATTTTTTTAAAAAATCAGTGTGAAGTTAGCTTGGCCAGGAAACCCCATAAAAGAGCCCACTTGACTTTTTTGGCGTCAAGAGATCGGATAACTTTTATTTACGTTTTAGTTTCTTGCGTTTGCTAGTTTGGTCTGTTAATGTTTTTCCATTTAGTTGACATTTTTCCTACTGGAACCCTGAAAAGTCTGCGTACATTCAAGTGAAGAGCTGTTTATCAGTCGGGTATTATAACTCTGGTTCCTGCATGTACCTGTGTACCATGTTCCTGCACTGAGTTTCCAGTTTTGCCGTGATGTCATGTTTTTCTTAGGATTACTCTCAACCAGACGAGGAGACTGCATGTGATATCGTTTCTTGCGTTCCCCCCACCCCTGCTTTTATGTGAAACTAGCATTGTTTGCGCCAGTTTACCCTAATGGATTACTGCGCTAGTAAGGTCACACAAAGCAAGTCAATGACGTTTCTAATTTAACTAGATGATTTTGTGAGCGTAGCAAATCCAGAAATGAGATTATTGAACTCTCGTGCATTATTAATAGGCGTCTACTGTCCTAGCGTTTCTTTTTTTATTACCATTATCATTTCCGATGTTGAGCTGCTGTCAAAAAGCCAAGCCAAGCCATCGCCATTGTTCACTTGAGATCTGAACGTGGAAGAAACCAAACACTGAACCATTACATGTGGTATTTGTTGAAAGATCGGAGGAGACCGAGATGAATTTCATTTGCGTGGCCAAAGCGTTGTGCATTAGTCGCAATAAGACAACCGAGGTACCTTAACGACTACTTGAACCGATGAACCGTGATGAGTAAACAATTCACCAGCGCGTTAAAACAATTTCAACAAGAGTCAATCATACTGAGTGGTGCTAAATCATCAACCAGCAAAATCTTATTGACTTGATCAACACGTTCATCCGTTAATACCCCTTTTGTAATGTAAAATGGTGATTGGTCTTTCATCTGATGTAAGCCAACACAAATGCTGTACCATCCATGTACAGAAAGGTCAGAAAGGAGCAAAATCGACTAAAAAATTTATTCAGTTTTAACTTTTAGTTAGTTTTAAATTCTTTACGGTGGCCAATTCACGTTATCAACTCAGTTGATAAAACCAAATTGCCTTATTACCCCCACCGACGCAGCACCACAGTTTCGTTAGAAACTTACCTCTTTATTCATTCGATTAAGACTTTGCCGGGATTTAAAACCTCTAAAAAAGTTGCAATTAAAAATTTATAGCCTTAAGCTGCTTTTGAAGGCGGACGAGAAGATATTTGGTTGGTAAACTTAATTGCTTTTGAGATTTATTAGTTTTTTTGCATCTAACGCCTTATTTTAATTGTTCACTCGAGTGAGTCAATACATGTTATTAGCACTCGAGATCGAGACAAAGCCTAGCAGTCTCGTTCCATTCTCCTCTCTTTCCGTTCGGAGACGGTTTCGGAAATTAGATTTGGGTAAATAAAATGAATGAGATTAATTAGATAGGCAGAGTCAAATCGAATTTACATCTCAGTTTTCAATATTCTCTCGATCAAATATGACACAGAAAAGTTGGTACTGACAAAGAACAATCTGCAGGCACCGGTAACTTTGATACTTCCTCTCGGATCAGTTTTAATTACTAGCGGAGACATGGAACAATGCAGCTTGCAAGGGCTAGCTCTTTATGGAAAATGCAGCCGGTATTACCTCAGCAAGCTTTTGTTGACAAGGTTTGGTTTCTAATTAACAAGGTTTTCCCGCTGTGAGGACTGACGGATAACCTACTTTAGGGGGGGGGGGTGGCTAAGGGTAGCTTGGGTTCTTGCAAACTCTTCATCCAATCTAGATCTCGTAATCTCGTCAACCTCAACCATGGTCTTGAAATCTAGTAATGATGAACATATTTCAGTCTTGAACTCTGGCATTTTTTCAAAGTTTTCAAAGTCTCGGGTTTTCTCTCGCTATGGGGCCGATGGTGCGGGCCAAAAGGTAACAGGATTAGCTTGGAATCATCCATTGTCAACGACGGAAGTGTGAACGAGCCCTTTATTAGGAGAGTGGGGCACACAGTATAAGGCTGTGTGAGTAAGATCACGATATGAACAAGGTTTGAGAAACTAAAACTGTTTAGTAACGATCTCAGATTTGCTTACAGGGATCCCAGCCGTTAGGTTGGTCTCTGATGTTATAATTGACTTTACCTTAGCTTTTCTGTTCGAGTTTTGCTTTCGCGTTGAATAATGAGAACGATGGTAAACTTTAAGCAAGGTATTGGAATGAAAGAAAAAAAAAGTTGTAATTCGTCACGGCATGTCATGAGCGTGGGAAAAAGGAAAATCTGATTCCTCTTGACCCTCGGATTGCGCGATGCAATGCTCAACCACTGAGCAATAGAGTACCCTATTGAGAAGAAGGCTAAACGTCTTCAGGAAAGACTTTCAAGGACGAAATTTGTCATCGAATGTAAATAGCGTTTAGTAATGTGGCGCAAAAATTTTGCTCAAATTCATTGCAATGTGGAGGATAAAACGTTCCTTTCTTTTCGACACTCTCTCGCAACAATCGGAACTTTTCGGATTCAATCCCGAAAGACTCCAATTTTTTTCGGAGATGTTCACCAGCGTACAAACAAAAGTTATTAAAATTCTTTTATCTTTCTTAGCGGCTGCCCAAGCACAATCAAATGCATGCGATTGTTTAAATCTGTACACCACTGACACGGAATTTTAACTTTCTATACTCATTAAAAAACCGCCTGATTCACCATTTCGCGTTGAGGGGTCCATCTGTCCATCTATTATCAGCATGTCACTCACAAAACAGTGGAAAGATATGTAAGAGGGACACTTTAATGAGTATTACATAAGCTCCAAAATGACAGCTCTGCTTTCAAATGCTTGTCATGATGCAAAGATCCTGCGTTTACCAAATGAATACTAAATTGATTTTTGAAAGCGGATGAATCAACTTGGGGGATATCGCTTTAAATCTCTGTCTGAAATGTAATCAGCGCTCGTGCAGTGCATTTGTGTCCACTGTGGTAGATTCTGACATCTACCCCACTGTGCAAAGGGCACAACTCTACGTAAAGTTTGTTGTCAGTTGACGTACGAGAGTCACGTCAGAAATATTAAAAAAACAGTCAATTTAACGCACTGTATTAAACCTAGTTACTGTTTACACAATTCCTGTCAGGGGCACAATTTACTGGGCCGCTAGTTAATTAGGAAACAGCTGGAAGCTTAAAAATGAAAACAACAGATTCTACAGCAGGTGAAAATGCCCCAGGGACGTAAAACTAACACTAAAAGATTTTTAAATGAAAGAACTACTAAAGCTGGGTGGATCGTGTTTACATACAAACACGTGCTAGTGATTATAGAGGCGTGTTAAAGTTTATCTCTTGAGTTTTAGACAACTGAAGTAGTTTTCTCTATCCATTGCTGAGTGAGGAGTTATCTTACTTTCCCAGTATAGGAAAACCAACCAAGCGGAATTAATGTCTTGTCTCATCTTATCGAAATAAAGCTCGGGAAATTCTTAAAAAAGACACATTGGTGTTAGACAGACACTGAAAACATTAAGCGACCTTTTGAGAAACTGTTTTAATGCTGGCGTCTAATGCACGTGAAACTTATCAACTGTCAACTCTTTCATGATAAAAGAAAGTTGTTGTCTAATTTTAGGTTGCGTGATTTACAACTGCATCTTTGTGGCTCAAAATGAGTCCTAAAATGCTAACATTTGTGCGAGGAAAATTAGAATTTTGTTCTCCTTCATCGAAAAATGGCAATAGTAGTACTTAATATTCGGTTGCTGTGTTAAATTTGAAAGAATATGAAGAAATATGATAGAAAATATTTTGGGGAAGTTTTAGGCAAGGCTGAGGGTCTGACATTTGGAACCACGCCGCACCGAGGTGTTTCCGCGTTTTTTTTTTTTTTTTGCGTTAAAGTTATTCGATACGATGCCGGACGTGTCTCGACCAAGACCACATGGAACAGCTGTCTAACACGAGCTTTACACATGGCGTTCTGAGTTTCATTGTCGTGGAAACAAAACGTGGAGTAAATAAAAACATTTTAGTATCTGGTCCACTTTGTTTCATTACTGATTGAAAGCATCGCTTTGTTAAAATGTTGAAAAAAAGTATTGTTCGTGCTTTCAGTTGCTAATCCTGTAAAAGATAAAACTGGCTTGAGTAGACAACTAATTAAATGATACTCGAGGTCGGAGAAATTGTGCATTCTTGGCCTCTTTAATATCTGGGTACTTTGATCTGAATTTGTTTAATACGGTGACAGAATTTTTTTTCTCGCCAAACATACAAGTTACACGGTGCTGCCACTAGCAGCAGTTTCATCAACGTCCGCGTGTAGCCTGTGCACCTCGACTTTTCCCGCGCTTACTTTTGGCGGGAAGTTATTAATGTGCCCAAACTGTTGACACGAAATATAAAAAAAAAAACACTCTTTAGTTAATTAAGATTATTGTGGTTTTAAAATATTAGAAGCAATATTCCAATATCTTAATCTTAAATGCAGATAATTCCAAACATGTTTACTTCTTTAACCGGACACAGATAGGAAGTAAATGACGTTTCTACTTAAGTCTACTGAAAACACTTCTTTGGAATCTAAGACACATTCTTTCAACCTAAAAAATACTAGCTTTACATAAGTACCTTGAGAAAACGGAAAATTCCTAAACAGGAATAAAGCTTAATTGCCCGCAAGGGCCGACGATAAGAATGGAATTCTTTGCAATTTACACAGTAAGAAGTTACAATTAACATGCCATGTATTTAGAATATTCCAAGATTTTGACCTCAGAACACCACACACGAATTGTCAAATTCTCAATTTCATTTTTCTGTAAATTTGTGGGCTTTCTAGGTCTTTAAATAGGGGTGTATTTCTCATTACAGCGCTACGCTCAGGTCATCTTTCTACAATGTCGACTCTTTGATATGCTTTGTAAAAATAACTTGTTTTACAAAAGGTTTAAGTGCCCTTAGCGAAGTTGAGGGCTGCGGTTGACATGTTCCAATTGTTCAGCGATGTAAATAGTTCAGTTTTCGATAAACAGTTGAAAAAAAAAATCAATATTGTTTTACTTGATAAAGTTCTCAGTTCCTCTCCAGTTTGGACCATACTTAAGGAATTGAAACTTTTTCTGTGGTATTCCGAGTGCCATCTTTATAATGGCGAAGAAGTGAAAACACTTCTTATCTTCAAAGGAACCCAAAATATGACCCTCAAGAATTATTCTAAAATGAATGGAATGAAAACACATTTGTGATATTCAAAAATTGTAATCAGGTACAAATTGAATGTTTCACGGTTTCTAGCTGTGAGCGATCCTTCTCAATTTCATTTTGAAGGCAATTACAAAATCCTTTAATTCATAGATGAAAAACTATAGTAATAAATTTTTTCTCGCCGAGTTCTCACTCCTCAGAGCATGAAGCTCGAGCGTGACTAATTGAAGAGTGCGGCTGTCACTATTGCGGCGATGCAACGCAACACCGCTCCATTTGTGTAACGCAACATATTCGTGCTCGCTGAGTGAAAACGAAATAATCACAAGTTACTAGTATGATATGGATTTACTTCCCTTTACTTTTGGTGTTTATGTTATCGTGGGAGCCACTCGAAATAACGCGAAACACGCAGGTATGGTGCAAATTTCGCTCGACCACTCGGTTTTTGTTATCTTTTCTTTTAAACGGCTCTTATGCTGCGAGTTTATCGGTGTTGTTTGTGCAAATGCAAGTTAGAGAGAACAACAACCACAACATGCAAGGCGCAAGCCGCAAAGAGGTGCCGTGATCTTTTAGCGCCGCCAATATTGGTCTGGCGGCGAAGTCAATGCGTTTGTCAGACTCCGTCTACCGATTCTTCCTTAGGGGCTACAAATGAAACACGGAATAATTTAAATGGTCATCGACCAGCCCAGTTAGTACCGAATCGATTAACCTTGGCTCCATCTTTTCCCGATCCAGCATTTTCTCACATGACTCATGCATCACGAATGTTTGAAATGGCAACGACGTGATGAATTCGCCCGAGAAGAATGTAACAGTTGGGAAATCTTAACACCCTTGGCCTTGTGACTAACTATCTTGTGACTATTTTGACAAAGTCCATCCTTAGATATCAGGGCGGGGATGGGAGGGGGGGGGATGCGAGCACGATTTACAGGCCCCTTGAGAGATGTTGTGTTATTGAACATTGTGCCTTCTGGACTCGCACTGGCTCACAATTTCCCTTTAAAGTACTCATTCGTCAGTAGATACTTGAAATTCTATGGGTTTGCCTTCCAACGCCTTTTCTGAATGCCCTGGTTGTCAAAGTACAATCCTGTAATTATCTCGGTATTGTGCCAGTTTAAATAGGGTTGTTTTTCTTGGAGCAAAAATAGTTTGTTTTGAGAGGAACGATTACCTGGTATTGGCTTAGAAAAAAATTGTTTTTCCTTTTAGTGGAAAGGAATACCTTGAGTTGATGTCCCCATAAAGCCGCGAAAAGCGAATTTGGTCTGCAGCATTGCAATCAGCATAACTCTGCAGGCGCTTCGATTCTTCGTGATCGGAAGTGTCACTGCTGGGGTGAGGAATGCGTGATGCTTGGCACGTGATGAAATCGACCGAAGGTGCAAGGGCGGCGAAAATAGGGCAGAGAAGAAATACCAAAATACATAGATTCACCGCAATAACACTATTAAATTAGCCAAATATCGTCATGTTCTGTCAACAATGAAATGTATCCATCCTAGTAACGGGCGTAATAAGAATTGCATCGTTCTGTTTAAACATGGTTTTCACCGAACTGCACTGACAAAACGACCTTTAGATCGGAAGTACGTCTCACGTGAAAGTGAGTAATAATAAGGAGCAACTGTGCTCTGCTACTGGAGCTAGTCTGGGCGTTTTATTTACAGGTTTACGCCAATAAGGACATTACCTGTGAACGATGAAATCCTACTTGCATAACCTTTAACCCTTTTGTGATAAGGAAAATTTTCGTTTCAATTCGTATACGCAATTAACTCCACCAAAAAAGAATCATATATTTCTCCTTACCATTTTTTTATGGCAAACAAAATTATGAGTTTTATTGGGCGCGGTGGAATCATGGCAACAGTTACGTCTGTCAACAAATCATCGCAAATTAAGTGTCAATAAAAAATTGTGTTCGTTTCCCAACGACTCGTTTCATAACATCGATTGTTCAAAGTTTGCCCTGCGCTTTGTTCTTTTTTCTCACTTGTGTCGCTTGCATTATACTTGCACTGAAATTATTTCCATTTGACACGAAATTATTATTGATAAAATTTTGACAAAATGGTGAGTATAAAATTTTCATTTTCAGGCGTGTAACCACTGATTAATTAACGCAAACTTCAAAATAAAATTGTCGGGGAAATGTTCAAAACACGACAATTTGCCTCGTAACTGTCGCTATTGAATATTTTGGAGCGCCGATTCGTCTCGACATGAAATTTATTTTTTTAAACTTAATATATTCACAATTTTATCTTTTCGACCAAATGGGCGAACTGAAGAATTTAGGACAGAACTTTGCACTATAAAGACACAGAGGGAATTGTTACTTTTTCTCTGTCTCGATTACGTCAGATTTTTACTGTATTAAGCCCCTGTTTACTCCCGCCCATTTCAGTAAAATTTCAATTCAGGTGTGTGAAAAAAGGACTAAATTAAAATTTTGACCCCCCTACCACGTAGAGTTGCTCAATCGACAATCAAAATAATTTTTGACCGGTATGTAATGTTCTGTTCCCGCCGTTATCACGATCAAGTTCATTTCTTTTGCCCTGACAGTATTTTGGAATCGCTGTTCCGAGTAACTGATCCTAACTTCAATGCGATTTTCGAGTGCAACTAATTTAATCGATCCAGTAACACTTATAGAATATCGAGGAAAAGATAAAATCATGCAATCGTTAGAATATCACGCAGCGATCGAAAGAAAAGCTCCAAAGAAAAATGTACAGTGGGAACCTTTGAATCTCTCTGCGAAGAATTTCGCTCACGCCGAATATTTACACACTTTTATTGAGTTGTCAAACGAAAATTATCTCCATTGTTTGCAGTTTGGCACTTCTTTTGATGCACAAAACTTTTTCTTCTTTGTGTAGCGCAATCTGTTTGCCCCAGCACCACCCTACTTCGGCATTTTGTTATACCTCACACCCATAACTTTGCCTGCCTAAGCAACAACGCACGTGATTGGTTTGTGAATTTAAGACAACTTTCGATTGGCCAATATTTTGACAATACCGTCAATTTATAAACTTGAAACGTGCTAATAACGCGTGGTGTTCAACCAAGCTAAAGGTCATTGTTGGGCTTGGCCTTAGTTGGCTACAGAAAAGGCGTAGTAGCTGATCGAAGCCTTGATCATTGAACATTACTTCTGCTGATTTCGAAGCGTAAAGATGGCGACAGAAGTTGAAGCACCGCCTGTGAATATTGAGGTAGATCAGACTGAAACGAAAACCGAAGAGGTCGAAAAACCTGAAGAGAATCACGTCGAAGAGAAGAATGAGGAGCAGGCCGATGAAAACAAGCCGGACGAGGAGAATGCGGTCGTCGATGGCGAAAAACAAGAAGAAGTTAATGGTACCGCACCACCAAAGGTTTTTCTCTATCAACATCCACCATGGAATGCAATTCCATCGCCGCTCCCCGCTTGCATAAAAGTGGAAACGTATTGCCGTATGCTGAAGATCCCTTACGAAAACGTTTACAAACCTGGTACTGATCAGAAATTGCCGTACATCGAATATCAAGGCGAGACAAAGAAACACGACCTCATAGGCTTCCTTAATTCCAAGTTCGAAGCGGACCCCGATGCAAATTTGAATGAAATGGACAAAGCTTGCTCGCGAGCTTTTCAAACTATGGTCGAGGAAAACACGTTCTGGAGTTTGATGTATTACCGATGGGTGGATAACTTCGCAGAAACCAAGAAATACTTCAAAGGGCTGGATGTTGTCAGAAAGAATGTACGCCCGAAGCTCGACCAAGGCAAGTGTGTGAAGTGCTTAGAAGCGCATGAAATCGGCAAGCATAATAAGGAAGAAATTTACGCCATCGGCGAAAAGGATCTACGTGCGCTATCAGCGTTCCTGGGCGACAAGGAGTTCTTCATGGGTTCCGATCCTACAACTATCGATTGCACGATGTTTGGCCTGCTGTCATGCTTGCTGCACACGGCCGAAAACTCGCCCCTGGCTAAAGTTGTGAATGAAGATTTGAAAAATTTAGTCGATTTCTGCGACCGAATGAAGCTTAATTTTTGGCTAGACTGGAATGATCTATCTTCAGAAGAGCAAGTCGAGGAGACACGACCCAAATCAAGGCTAAGTGTCAAAAAGAAGAAGAGGACCAAGTCCCAAGAGCCAGCAGCCGAGAGCAAAGAAGGCCAAGCTAGTGCAGACCAAGAAACCGAAGAAAAGAAAGAAGGAGAGGGAGAAGAAAAGAAAGAAGAGGAGCCCGTTGTAAATGGAGACGCAACAGAAGAGGCAGCCGCCGAAGAACCAAAGGAACAAGCGGAGGAATCAAAAGAGGAGGAGACCAAGGAATCAGAAGAAAAGAAAGAGGAAGAAACTCCTGTGGTCAACGGCGATGGAGGCGAAGAACCAAAAGCCGAGGAAGCCGCACAGGAATAAACTGTAAGCTTTTCAGATTCGTTTTCTGTGAACTTTGAGCAAACAAAACGCTGCTATATCCTAACCGAATACTAATGAATTACTTTAGGCGTTCAATCCAGGAACGGAGGTTTCCTATTGTAAGTATTATTTTTCCTTGCTTACACGCAAGACGTGCGTAGATTTCTTTGCTAGGGAAAAGAGGTTGTGTGTGATTAGAGATCATTCAGTAGATCGCTGCTCACTCGCTGTTGCGAGGGAAATTCGAGTTCTCTCAACGCGCGATCGATTCGTGACTGAAAATCCATTCTTGATTCTTCCTGATTATTATTCACTATTCCTCTATTTCATTGCTAGTATTTGACCGTTAAAATCGAGACAAATCTATTCATTTTGTTAGAAGCAGCCCCGTTGAGATGGAATTCGGTTGAAAACCTGAAATCGGTGTAATTTTCCGAAGGTGTGTCGTTTCCCAATTTAGGTGGGGCTTTAGAAGATAGCGATTTTCGAATTAAGTAGCAGTGATCGCGCTCGGTTACATCAGTACAAAGACATTAATTTTTTATTATAATATTTTGATTGTTATGAAAAACTTGAAAGTAGTGTAATAATACTCACGAAGCAATATTCGTGGCTCTGTACCTGCGCTATAATTTTCGTCTAGTCGTAGTAGATATTAATTTCGAGACACAACATTGAATAGTCGTGAGTTATATGGTAACAAATTGAGTCCGAGATTCTAGGCAAAGGAACCACGGTATTTATGTAAGGTTCAGGAAAAGTCTTTTTTCTTAATTGTCAACAGTGGATATCTATATTCACATTATTGTGCTGGAATTTGAAATCGTTTAGTTGAATCCTCAAACTCGTCTTCTCTCACTCGAACGTTACACCACAGTCGGTAAATATTTACAGAAATATGTTCTAATCTTGTTCTCGTCTTGCCCACTTCGAACAGGATTAAAATTAGCAGCTTTCTTTTGCGATTCAGAGTTATGTTCCATCTAAACTGAAAATTTAACAGACATGACGAGTTTCGATGGGTTTCATGGACGAGAGAGCAAAGATATACTTTGGACAGTCTAATTGGGATTTAATATCTAATTTTGTTGTGGCGAGTTAAACCCTCCCAATTTTCAAGAACCTTTCGCCTTCCGTATATTTTACGTGTTTGTGGTGCTTATTATGGCTAGCGGATTGCATCTCCCTTTCTAAATATAAGCTAATTCTGAGCCATGAGTTAATTTTTTTTTCACTCAAGAAGACGAAACGTGAACATCTTAAGAGTAGCTAAGAGAATAGTTTTTTTTTTGTAAAGCTTGGAGTAAGAACCAAGTGACATTACAATAATAAATTTAAAGAAGTAGAGTAATTTATATGTTGATAGTGTAGTGTATTAGTTTTTGTTTTGCATGCACGTGTTTTGTTTGGAAGGCCTTTTTTAGTGCCTTAAATTTGTCTTAAATTTAGTAGTTTAGCCTAGGTTGCATGCTCTTCTATTTCTGAATTTAGAGACAAAAACATTCATTTTTTTTTCTGCAAATTATTGCAAATTATAATACTGTAGTAAATTAAGTCTAAGCCATGCATATCTAGTGTCCCTTCATTTAAAACAAATCGTTGGGAACATGAAAGGCCTAAATATAGAATTATTTTGCATTTATTTTTTATTGTTGATCACAAAGTGAAACAGTTTGTCGATAGCTGGAACTACAGAGATGTGTGAAAATTGAAAAAAGTTTGCTACCCTTCCAATTTGCATAGTATTTCAGTGATATTGATGTCCTGCTGCCACTTGTAGTAGCCATTAGAAACTTGCAAGGTGCTATGTATGGAAACAATGACGTCCTGTCACGTCAGTTTCACTTTTCACTTTCCAAAAAGTTTTTGCAGCTGTTATTGTTAGAATGCCATGGAATCTGAAAGGTGTAGCATTGTATTTTCCTTTAGAAATGGTGCGCTGTATATGATATTTTGGTCTAACAGAGGCGGAGTGAATGTTGTCTCGCGATGGAATTCAAGTGTTAGGAGTATGTAGACATGAAAGACACTTTCTCCTGTAAAATGTATTGTTAAATTATACTTAAGAGTTGAAATTAAAACTGAGCAATCATGTGAGTGTTGTTTATTTTTGCATGTGCATCTTGCATTGTTCCTGTTACTAAGGGATTGAACTAGGTGAGAAAAATTGTCTTAATCATGTGACAAAACTAGGGGAAAAATTAGCATGTCTCTCTTAGGCTTTCCATGTTTGAAAATGGAATAGATTGTCGTGCCCTGTCCAGTTGGAACCTTGTTTTGAAGGGTTATTATAAAGAAAAACGTATGGCATGGTGCTTTCTACTTGAGTTGTTGTTAAATTTAGTAGGGGCTATTTATGAAGTGGGAGGACATCACATTAGTTTGTTTTGCATTATATTGATTCTGAAAGGTGTTGCATATTATTCATGCAGCAAGTTTGAAGGTGTTACGACATTTATTTTTGTGAGATGGAACGGAACTAGAAATTTTTACCCTTAGAGGAAAAGAGTAGATTTCTTTGTGCTGTTCACCCATGGTTGTAGTGTGGTAGATTAGAGCAACCATGCAGTGAACATTTCTTCAAGAGTTTTTGATTTATGGGAATATCAGTAATTTTTATTCATCTGAATTTAAAGTGGACTATCACTTTTGTTCAAATGCTTTCTTGAACAATTTAACTGAGGGTGGTTGAGTGTAGCTGAACAATGTCTACAAAATTTCCAAGGTTTCCTCCAAGCATAAAATTGTAATGAAGATAAGACACAAGACTGGTGGGTGATAAACTTAAAAAATGTAGTATTTTGAGTTGATTATTTGATGTCAAAAGCTATGGCCCTATTTCTACTGTTTGTTAGAATGTGGTGGTGTTGCACAGGCCTTAACCTGTGCGGCTACTAAACCAATTGAAATGGGAAGTGAAACATCAGTTGGAAACATCTGATATGCATTTTTTCAAGGGTGGGAATTTAGCTGCCAGGGGCTGCATGTCCTTTTCCTAAGATAAGAAAGGGGAGGATGATTCTGTGACACTTGGTTGTCCCAAAGCAAGCTCTTTTTTTGCCAGATAATACTGACCAATTTTGAATCTGCACTTGAGCTCTATTTTTGGCATTTCCCATAACAAAGGGGAAATGGTTGGAGATTTGAAGGAACTTGTTGGAGGAAATATGCCACAATTCTTTTGAAACATTTTTCCTAATTCTCCTTGTTAGTGATCTTATTCTTGGAGAACACATTTAACCGGTGTCAGTTTTGGATTGAACATGGCATACAAAGTCCTGTGGTGCAAAATCACCCCACTATTCCTTAGTTCCCCTGCATTTCTATTTTAAAAGGATATCAACAATTTGAGTTGTGATCTTTTCATCAACCCCAAAATGTTTTCATTAAAAAGGAATCAGGTGTATGGCCTGTGCATTTTTGGATCATAGAGGACGTGCAATTAGTGAAGGAGGATCTAGCCTGACTGCAGAATTTTTCAGTTCCGGAGAAGGATAAAAACACTTGTGCAGGGAGTTCCTCTCACTGATCTTACCACACAGCCATTGTAATTTGGATTTGTAATGCAGAACTCTTTTGATTCCCCCTCTTGGAAGAAGACTTAGAGCAAGAAGACTGAACAATGGCTCCCCAGGAGATATGTTATGTGAATGATCAGTGGAAAGTAATTGGAAAACTTAAATTTTTGGTTGAGAAGTTGTGGAATCTGGCACACCAAATGGAAACAAGGAAAATTAAGAGTGGTAATCGTTGACCAAAGAGGGCAGAATTTCCTAAAGTTTGGTAGAAGTTGGGTTTGAGGATGATTATTTTTTATTTTAATAGATTTCAAAGTTTGAGAACCATTTCCCAATTTTAAGTTGTAATCAGTTGCCTTGTATACCCATCAATGACCTTAGCCATGGCCCACATGAGGAGCTGAACGGTATAAATTGTCAGCACCTGGAGATCTTGTGAGCCATGACTATTATTGCCAGACACCTTTTTCATTGGTTGTTGGGGAGCTATTGCCTTCTATCCAAAGTTACAGAATCTATTTTTTCTACAAGAGCCTTTATCTGTCAGAGATTGTGAATGAAAGAGATGTTGCTTTAAAAAGCTTCACTGCTAACTGATTAGTGAAAATTTTGTGACATTTTCAAGCCTACACTTAGAATGATACAAAGATCAAAGTGCATCCTTTTGAGGGGTTAATTTGCAGTGGTGATTTGGAAACTTTGGAGTTAATTAAATTTTATTTTTAAAACCAGTCATATGAACAACACCAAAACCCTTTGTGTCTTTAAATGGACTATGGTCTGCAACAAGGTCTCAAATCAGGCAGTTTGAACCAAAGGACTCATTTATATTTGGGATTAACTTATCTGTCAAAGATGATTCATTGGGCAGGGTTTTATTAACATTCTACTGTCAAGGAAGGATGAGAAAACAGATAAATGAAACAGAATATGTTAGTATACTGATTTCCTTTTTTTTCTTTCCCCCATGCCCTAATTTTGCTATACTTATTTTTTTTTACCTTTTCACTCACTGAAGTGACCAAAGAGGAAATTCTCCCCACAACATCCTTAAAATATTTTGCATGAAGGAAATGAGAAGAAAAAAAATATTGTCAACTAGGCAATACTGTTTGACTAAACAACAAGTCCTTTGAGCTAAAATTAGAAGAAATGTGCAGTAGACTGTACAGAGAATTGATATTTTGACAGAATAGAGAATTAATATTTTGTTTTGGGGAGGAGGGAAGGGTTACTTAACAAAGAAAAATCTTTCATTGGTCTTTGGATATGCTTTGTCACATGCATGCGTGTCTGAGTGCACGAGGTCAATTAACAGCAGACTTGTTAACATGAGACATCAAAAATATCAAAATTCTGCCCTCTTGCAAGGTTGAAAGGACACAAACAAAGGAAACTTGACAAGCATATCATGTTCATTCATTTGATGTTCTCTTAAGTTCATCATCATTAAGCTAAATTTTTTATAAAATAAAAGATGCATGATGAAATGATAAGATGTCTGTCTGAGAGGGAGGGAGGGGTGAATACCAGTGTGTAGGATATAATTATCACTACATAAATCAAAACTTGGATGATTGTCAGGCTTGTAGCACAGCTTACAAGGTCAAAACAGCCTTGGAATTGCAAACCTTATTCAAGACAAAATTGTTCACCCAGGCTGAAGTGATTTTCTGGGCGATAAGTACAGAATATTCAGAATTTTGTAATAATGCTTCATTGAGCTGTCTGTTTATCAGTTTTAAGTGTGGAGAGGGGAGGGTGATCACATTCAAACTCACCCACTTCACCCACCCTGCATACCAACCTTCCTTTGTTAAAGTCAAGTGGTTAAACGAGGCTCAGCGATAATGCACTATATTTCAAGATGGCGGACGACGTATCAACAAAGCTGTTAGTGAGACATTTACCCTCTCAACTCAGTGTACATGATAAAACGGACCTACTGAAACACTTTGGAGCAAAGGAAGTAATATGTATGGAAAGGAGAGGAAAATTGGTGGGTGTTAGACAATTCCATTGTTACCTTTTGACGAAATCACGCAACAGAAACTTCAAGCAAATAATTGAATTCGATAATCTGAAATTGAGCAGAAGCTGTACTTGCTCGATCTCATACTAAAGTTGTGACTGCTCAACTTAAGAGATTTAAAAATTAGCGACAGATTCCCTGCTTACTTTTAGGATCAGTCAATGAATTTGTTTCAGTAACTGGATATGATACTTTTTCAAAAACGGGGTGTCTAGATCTATTTCATGACCTCAGGTGGAAGAATTCGAGGATCGAAAATGCTTCCTTTTCTTGTATTTCTCTAAATATTGATTTGGTAAGCTCCTGAGTATTGAGTGAAATGTCAGTTTGTAGCAATGTAAGAAAGCAAAACTGTACAGTTAAGGTGAACACTCAGTGAGAGACAATCAGTGTCTGGTTAACTGATCTTCATTTTCAGAGAGATGCTGCATTTGCTGAGTTTTCCACCCTAACACAAGCTGCTCAGGTAGGTTGCCATGCTCCTGGTTGCTTTATGTCAGGGAAACTGGGATGAGCTCAGGCTTGATAGGCCACTAATGGTTCCATTACCGACTTTCCTTACCAACTTAAGGTGTCAGTATTATGTATTTATTATAGGACTACATTCTGTCCAATTTGGAAATAATTGGATGAAAAAAATTCTGAGGACGGCCATAATTGGACAAGGCCATAAGCCGAGTCCAATTTGGCAGTCATAAGAATTTTTTGAATCCTATTTCCAAAATTAGACAAGCATGTAGACCTATTACTTGTTAATTATATACCAGCTAGTCAGTTGGAGTTGGGCATTGCTCAGTCAAGCTATTATTCTTTGATTTTTTTAAACTGTTCAATTTTGGATTAATTTGGACAGTTTGAAACTATCCAAATTAATCCATAATGGGCCCGTGTTAAAAAATGAAAGAATAAAAGCAATGCTGACAATTTCATATTAATTACCAACTCTACAATTATTATCATAATTGTACTAGGTCCCTAATCTATTTATAGAATCATTTCTTTCTGGGTTTTATTTCTCATGCAACAACTGATGGCAAAATTACAAGAGGCATTTTACTCTATAAGAGCTCAAGTGGCATTGTGGTAATTTCATTTCCACACCCCACACTTGAGTTTTCTCGCAGTACAGCAGAAATTGATTTTAAACTTGAGCCATTAACTCAGTAACTTGGTACTGTGTGGGTTGGACAGGAGAGTTGTTCTTATAGCTTGCAGTGTTTCAGTTACTTGGCACCTGGTTGGGGCAGATTGATCATTTCTGCAAGGCCAAAATCCTTTTATTGTGTACTTCACAGGCAATTTCTCAGTTACACCAGTCTGAGGTTCTTGGCAGCCGATTGACAGTGGAATATGCTAAACCTCTTCATGAACATCTTGCAGCTCAACAGTGTAGCAGGTAAACTTGGATTTTTTGGAATTCGTTTGTTTTACCTACACAATCATGTTGATACACAACACCCTTCTTTGAACCCTTCCACCAGCTGACACACCTTGACCTGATCCACTGAAAGTTTAAATCCTGCAAAATAAATGGCTGTTAAAACATACCATCTTCAGAAGTACAAAAATTCACCAATATCCTTTGTAATTGAAAATTAATTTCTGGTCTTGCATTATCCTGGCTTTTAATTTAGTCACTTTGACCATCATGGGTGAAGAAAGAAAATGTGAACTCCAACACTTCTAGATGTGAATGACATATTATGTAGCTCTCCTCTATCTAAATCAGCACTATGGAAAAATTTGGAAATCTCAGGTTTCTTTCCTTCCTCCTTTTCTTTTTCTTGATGGAACCCAAAATTGATTGAAGAGTTAATTTTTATGCAGAAACTTCAAGCTTCCCAAAATGTTTTCTGCATACAACAAAGAAAGGCCAAAGGGTAAAATTTAACTCAATTCATGTAAAATTGACATGCTGCACTGTATGGTGTGGTCTGTATGTCTGTGGCAGTTGTAAGTTATAAATAATCATTTTTCACTGATGATCATGATTGAAACAAAGGGATAATTATCAGATCTGTTTAGGAAAATATTGTAATTTTACTAATAGTAATACTTTGAAAAATGTGAACCAATTTATTCCTCTCAAACTTGTGTTGAACTTCTCTAAATACAAACTTAACTCTCTACACCATAACATCAAAATTCAAATTCTCTTTACTATTCCCTATACCTTTCCTAATGTTCTGTCAAGGAGAATTTCTCTCACAGTCAACAGCTTGAGATGTTTAGTCAGTGATCATTTCCTTTATTTTCATGACCTTAAATTTTAATCCAGGCCTATTGCAGTAAGAAAATAGATTTGAGTCACACAAGGGAATAAAGGGGAAAAAGCTAACTCAAGCCATTGATAATCTCAGGGGTTACTGTATGATGTTTTGTTGTGTGACTTTTTTTAAGGGTCTCCCCTTCAGTATCGTTGGATGAAAACACAAACAACGACAAAGAAACAAGAAAAGTGGAGACAGAACAACTCAGTAACAAAGTTAAAGTGAAGTCTGGTGACACTCAAGGCATAGCACCAAGTTTAGGGTACAAAAAATCCTAGTAAATATTATGCTAATCAGAGTTTCTCATTCACTGTTTATTGAAAGATGGCATAGTGTAGCAGTCAATGATGTATTTTCCTCCCTCCCAATGTGTAGCTTTGATGCTCAGTTAGTAGCAGCACCCATCTAGTATCTGGGGTGCTAATAGGTTCAAATGCCATCAAAGCCTGAATATTTTTTATTTTTTCAGACTTCTTTCCTGCGATTGCTAAAATTGCAGCTCATTTGTGAGGGTGGTGGCTTTGTGTCATATATTAGTCAACCTTTTTGTTTTATTGATGTTGCAAATATACATGTCTCCTCATAATTGTTGGTTTTCAGCCAGTTGACTATGATTTGTACAGAATAAAATGACATGAAATTTAATTGTTTTTTATGTTTTAGCAGCTAGGACAACAGAAATAAAAGCAATGAATGCAATCTGTCAGGGCTGATATATTGTTTACATTCATCATTTCATTTTTTGACACTTTAATGGTCATCTGTAATTTTTATTTCATTTGATTGTCAATTTTCAAAGAGAAGTAATAATGGAAATAACTTTAGGAGCCATTATGTCTAAAGTTATTAATGATCATTAATCTGAACCAATCCTGAATAAATGAAAAAAAAATGTTACGATAGGGGTAATTGTATTTCTGTTTTTATGGATGATCCTTTTGTTGGTTTTTATTATAACCAGGAACTCTCTTTAGGTCATTTAGGATGCATGTATGTGTCTGGCTCCTAATTGCTACTCTTTTATCAATTTCTATATGTTTAATTTATGAATGAGACTGTTCCAGACACATTGTTCAAAATTATTTTCATTTGGTGAGCTCTCTTTTGTAAATAATTTTTATTCTCTAAGTTTTCAAGAAAGTGCTCTTGCCTTATGGGCATTTTTTTTTTAAAAAATGGTTCGGAGCAAAGACTTTCTGAATTATTTTAATTTTCACCCTATTTTATAGACCTTTTGTCAAAATCCTTTTGATTATTAATGTAGACATAAGTTTGTTATAATGATGAATTCAGCATAATAGATTTTAAAAGTTGTTATCAATAAATTACAGAGGCTTTTAAGCATCACTATACTTTCCTATGTAAAAATCAGGATGATTTTGCCAAATGACAATCATTCTAACTTTTTTTCAGTTTTTGTAGCTATTAATTATACTTTAAAATCCTCATGTTTTACACTTTTTATTTTAGCTTAAATGTATCATTAATACAATCTGAGTGGGTTTGTTTGATGTGGCTTGGCTATAAAATTTTTTTAAAATGACTAACTTAAAGTTTTATTGTTGCAGAATTAAGTACAGTTGCAACCCAAGTCTTCACTATGCCTACCCTCCGGTAAATACTGCCATTCTCACCAACATCGCCCACACATTGGCATGTGTTCCAAAATTTTATGTCCAGGTGTGAATTTCAAATTATGTCATATGCTGAATTCTACATGCATTTTGGTTGGTTCTTTGTAATGATCTTTGGAAGGACAAGTTTTTTGTTTCTCTGGTGTATAAATCAGACAAACAGAATCCATGTTGCCATGGCTCTGTCATTATAGGAATAGCATTAGTGACACATGGCAGTTTTGTTCTTACCCCACATTGATGTCATCTGTGATGTACTACTGATGCACATGGCAACATGGAATTCATTTCTTAATTCGCAGTTAACCATTTATGAACTCCTCTTCTTCCATATTCCCCATCATTTGTGAAAAATTATTATCAAACTATGACTTTGTTTTCCCAAGCATCTTCATGTTTATTAATCTTAAATTTATGCTCCAAATTTCTATAAATTTGATTTTTCTTTGTTCTAAGCTCAAGTCTGTAAGGCTAAAGTAGATTTAAATTTTCAAATTTCTGTTTGACTGTGGAGTGTGCATTATTCATTGTTAATATTTTCATCCTAGGTTTTGCATCTGATGAACAAAATGAATCTTCCTGCTCCATTTGGACAAATTACCCCCACCCCACCCTTGGTAAGTATCCACAATGCTGCTTGTAAGTTGTTATTGGCTTATTTCTTTGATAAAGAGTCTAGAGTCCAGTCTCCATCAATTCATATGTAATAGCTGTATTAATTAGAATTTAGTATTTAAAATACTCTTGGCTTCCGTTGTAAATATTACGTATTTCTTTAATTAAGAAGCTAGAGTCCAGTCTCTGTCAATTAAAGGTTAATATATGTATTGATAATCACTTAATACTGCAACTAGTTGTATAGAAAGCTTTTGAAAAGTCTTAAACTCCCAAAAAAAAAACAAACAAACAAACAAAGAAGCAACAAGATTGAGAAAGCAAAAAGACTCAAACTCTGCTTAAATAAAAAGGAGTGTTTGCCATGAAGCAGACTTTGTTAAACTGACTCCTTACTAAGCTCAAGTTTTCAAAATTGCATTACTTCTGCGAACAACAGTTCTTTTTTAGAACCAACCTTCTACATAGGATCACTGTTTATCAGTAGCTAGCCACATGTTTACCTCCAAGAAACAAGTACTTGAGTGGAAAGTACATTATAAGTCAACCATCATTAGCATCGTGTTGTTTTTTCAAGTTAGGTGAAGTACCAGAAGCACCGCAGCCGGCTTCATCAGATGACGACAGATCTATGTCCAGTGATGAGTCAGAAATAGAGAGTGATGAAGAAGAAAGAGAGAAAAGGTGATCTGTAATTGCAGTTTTTGTGGAAATTGCTGTAACATCAATAATTTCCTTCCTACAAACTACTTTGATAATTTTAGTTTCCCTCTCATTTGGGGGAAATACAACTGCTTTTTGTGTGCTCTTACTAAGACATACATGTACTTCTCGTAAACATCGTTATCTCGGTCCGTACTTTACGTTACAAACTGAACTTTTTTTTCCGTAAAGAGAAATACGGCCCTCAAGTTGACCAATCATAGCGTTCGTACTATACGGCCCGTTAAAATAAGGCGCGCAAGTTGACCAATCATAGCTCTCGTACTGAGAGATATAGGAACAATCACTACGAGAGCCCTTGTTTTAATTTACAATTTTAACTACAGTCGAACCTCGATTATCGGGACTCGTCGGGACTTCGGTAAATAGTCCGGATAATCGAAAATGTGAATATTTTTGAGATGGAAATGTAAACAAAAGTATACAGCAAAGAAAACATCATTTTAATTGTGAAATCTACACAGCCTGTATGTATTTACACTGAGTAAAAACTTTCAGTTCAGGTATTTAGGAAGGTCTAAAATGTTCAACCATGTTTGTTTCCTTCAGACTTGTAGCTTGATCGCATTGCGAAGTCCATCATTCGCCGTAGCTGCATTCACTGCACTGGGTCAATATCGTTCTGTGATACCATCCACGACGAGTAGTTTTTGAAACATTGCGCTGCCTCTTTAGTCGATACTAGTTTCTCGTCCTCGCCTTCGTCTTCCTCATCGCTACATACACTTTCGCTTTCCGTCGAATCTCCGACAACGGTGGCTAAAATCTCTTCATCGGACATTTGCGGTGAATTCGGGAGCTCGTTTTCCAGATTAAGCCAGTCTTTCACATCGCGAGCACCAGGCATTTCCTCATTGTCAAGTTGCTGCACATGTTCTAACATTTCGACTATGGACTCACCAATATTATCTCTGAATTCGCGCTGTGAATTTGACTCGATGTTGTCCGAATTTTGAAAAGCGCACAGGATAATGTGCTGTTTCAACAGTCTTTTGAAAGGAGTATCGGGCTTTTTGCGACTTTGAGTTTTCACGATCACAACCAATTAATATTCATGAAAAAATTGGGACCAGAGAAAAAAGTCCGGATAATCGAATAGTCCGGATAATCGAGGTTCGACTGTAGTCATTACAGACAAGAGTTCCTTAGCGTGCGCCAGAGAAATTAACCTGTCAGAGTGAGCTGAGATGTGTATTTCAGTTTCTTTTGGGGGTTAAGAATTTAGTTTTGCTCTTTCAGAGCGAAACAAAGGGCTGAACACGCCCAAAGAATGTCTGTTGCCAAACCAGGGAAGACTGCCAAGAAAAGACACAAAGTCAACCTTCCAACATCAAGACCACCAGCCAAGAAAGTCAAGTCAAGTTCTTCAACCAAACAAATACCTGTGGAGAAAGCATTCGAACAGCCTTCTGGCCAACCAAAGAGGATTGAGTTTAAGCTCACGGAGGCGATCTCAAATATATTTGAATCTGCAGCATACAGTGAGGCCATAGGTATTATGCAAGTTTCTGGTTTCATGCGGTCTAGACCGAAGGACATTTTTAACGAATAACCGCAAAACAATTATTATACATTCAGTGGTTTGAACTTGGGAGTAACAGTTGAACGTGTGGTTTGTTCGTCTCGGTAAGAGTAAGTCGGTCCGGGGGAGGACTGTTGTTGAGCGAACCACTTGAGTCTTATAACCATTGACATTACGGCTAAACTGACCTATCAGTTTACACGAACAGGACTTATAACACTTGACTGACAACAAGTCTGGTTCTAATGGTGACTTCCGCTCAGATCGACGAAACGTCACTCACCACTACCGACAACTGTCCTTCTCAGGATTACACACGATGGACATTTTTTATCGGTAAAATTGCATTGTAACGACTTTTAGGTCATAACAGATAATATACATATTTATATATATAACTAACTGCAGACAGTACTGTTTCGGCCTTCTGGGCCTCATCAGTGCAGTGCTGATGCTAGGATGGGAGAGAACCGAAACGGTCACCCCAAACGACCCAACCTTTGTGGTATCGTCTAAGCCATGCCAGAGTGCTCAAACTAGAGTAAACTAGCGAGCATGCGCAACTGCAACAGCAATGACTCATCCTAGATAGAGTGCTCAATTTGGACATGAAAGCAAAGCTTTGTATGCCAAAGAGCTATATCTAACTGCAGTTATTTATTTATATATATATATTTTTTTTTTGGTAAATAGGGCACTCACTCAGTTATTTGCCTGTTGGTTTTTGTAATGAGTTGGTTAGTTAATCAGTTGGGAGGTACTTAACTGAGTCCCTTCTTTCTGTAATCATTCGCTAGTGCATCACATGTCAAGTCTATTGGAGTAGATTTGAACTGAGCGTCGAAAGTAATGCGAGATTGCACAGGTTCTGCTTTACTTCGCTCTGTGATTGGTCCAGAAAACTCGTGCCACTCTCTCAACCAATCAGATGCCAAACTAAAACCAATCACGACTTGGTCGACCGCGATTTCCCGCGATTTCCCGCGCTTTAGTCGCTTTGGTTGTTTTTACTTTGAGTTCTCATTGGTTCTTCAGTGTAGTTTTCTTTTTTCTGATGGCCGTTGCGATTACCTTGGTTTCGGTTCTACGACAGCCATGCGAAATACGCCCTTGTGGCTGCGAATGAATGAGTCACCTATCTTTTTGTTGGCTATGAAACTACTTGTTCAGGAACCCAACCAGTCTGTTACTTGTGACATGCCTTTGCCTCCCGTCCACAGCTGTTGCTCCTCCAGAGGTAGAAGGGTTTGGTCGATTTGCGCCTCCTGCAGATCTTGAAGATGCCAAGGATGAACTTGAAGAAGAAGAAGAAGAAGAAGACGAGGAGTCTGTTTCTGAGGAAAGCAGAGAGTATATCTCATCCGCCGAACTGCGCAGAAACAGAATAAGTACCAAAGGTAGAAAACTCAAGCTTTAGTTGATGTTTACACCCTCTCCCTCAGTGATACATGTGACCTTCATCTTTGTGAGGAGCGGTAATTTATGATAATTTAACAACCTGAAATGCCCTGAAATTCCAGAGGGAAAATGGCGGGGGACCCATTCCCCCTTTCCTCCCTCCTTATCACCACTACTTCTGTACCCCCTTCCCCCCATGCATGTCTGTATGCAGTAATAACTTTCTGTTGGTTTGTTGCACAGAAATGCCGGATATTTCTGCTTTCAAGAATTATTCACCTGGAGACCCGACCTGCAGGCTATACATTAAAAATCTGGCAAAAACTGTCGAAGAGAAGGTAAGGGATTTGTCTGTTCATTAAAAGTTGATATATACAGGCATTTATCGCCAGTTGTAAACAAATACGCCCTTTGATTGAGTTCACTCTCTTACTTGCTCATGTGTTGGAATGAATGGAGTGTAAAAGTATATTTATTCCGTTTCTAGGATCTCAAGTACATTTTTGGTCGATACATTGATAACAAGATGGAAGAGGAAAGAGACAGGTATTGAATAGAAATAAAACTTCTTATTTTCGTGAGAATACGTAACAATGGCTGATAGAGTTTCTCTCCAAGGGTCAGCTTTTGATGTTGTTATGTTTATTGATAACCCCTGGATCGCCCGGGCGATCAGTTTCTTACAGTAAATTTTTTTCCACATGTAAACTCCGTTTCACTGAAACTTCAATAATGATCTTGAATTGTAAGATCCCTCGGGGACCTTACAGATAGACATCACTGTTTCCTCGCTCTTTAGACAAAATTGCAGTAGAGTAACAAAGTAATCGGAAATTTTCACCTCGCTCTGTGATTGGTCTAGAAAGAGTCGCACCACCCTCGCAACCAATCAGAATCAAAACTAAAACTAATCGCGACCAGCTGGCCACTTGCATTTTCGCGCGCTTTAAGCAGGTTGCTTGTTGTTTTTCTTAACTTGAAAATTCTTATTTGTTCGTAATATACCCTCAATCGAAATGAAATGACGTTGGCCTGTTATTTAGAGTAAGAGAAAAAACGCTTCGTAATCTGCTCGAACTTTCTGTCAATACTGGTGTGAGGATTGGTTTTCTATGTTGATCAAAACTTCTTTATTGTTGTAGATTTGACATTCGGCTGATGAAGGAAGGTCGCATGAAGGGTCAAGCTTTAGTTACGTTACCGAATGAGGAGAAGGCGAAGAAGGCTCTCAGAGATACACACGGCTACATCCTGCAGGGGAAGCCCATTGTTGTTGTATCCTTGTTCAAAAAGTTTGCATAGAATAAGTAGCGGCTTCCTACTTTGGCGTTTGGGAACACTCTGTCGAGCGGGTGGAGACAACTTACGCAGAGCGCGAGAGACTGGTAACGAACTCATAGCGCGCTTAATTCTATTCCGTAAAGAGGCGTTTGAGGTTAAGGCAGGATCTGTGGGTGCCAGATCCTCCTTAGTACTACCGTTAGGGGTAAGAGAATGATGAAGATGAGTAGGTAGTGTCTGAACTTTGGTCTAAAATGCTATGCACTTAAAGAAACTTTTCTTGATTTTCCTTCTCTTTTTTTTTTTTTCGATGAAACAATTTTAGTGTAATAGAAAAGCGTGATGCTGTTAGTGAGTTTTCACAGGTGCTTACCAATACTTGGCTGTGTAGCCGCGCGATGCGATTCCAGTCAAGGCCCACAAATTGACCCTTGCTCACCATAGAGTCTCCAGTAGCTCAGTGGTTAGAGCATCCGACTAGATCACGGACGGTCGTGGGTTCAAGTCCCATCTGGGGCTCGGATTTTTCTCTTTTTTTTTTTCGGTACTGTAAAGTACGCCTCCTCTCCTCATTTCACCCAAGTTTGGTGAACAAATCACAAGAAGCTAGCGGTGTATATTTAAAGTAATTTATGACCCAGATTTTATAAGGGAGTCTAATATTTTATATGCTCTTCACCTGCCTAAACTACCTCCTCCCTCCTATAAACAAATTGTATTGAGGGCGGGGAATTCCACACCGAGTACCCTTTCTCATTAATTAGGACGTGGCCCACAACTCATTCTGCACATTGTTGTCATCTACCCGCATAAGATTATTTGCTTGTCATCCTTAATGGTGTTTTACAGCAATTCGCACGATCAGCGAAAGCAAAGGATTAAGAACATACTCGCTGCAAGTTCCAGAAGTGAAGGAGCTGCAAAACCCAAATGAAATGCAGTAGCCGGACGATGTGACCATAGCCAAATGTTACAAAGGGAAGGGAGGTTCGCTGTCACGTGATTCGTCCCTTCAGTGCCGCGCCGTACAAAATGGGAGGTGATGGACACAAGCGTAGAGTTAAGTCTGGGACCAAGATCTCTCAGGGGGTAGAGGTGGATCACACTGGTATGGTTCGGGTTTTCTAACAGAATGAGCTGAAGATTGGACTTAATGAAAGCAAATGGCGAGAAATCTTAATCTGGCAATATGTCCTTCTTTGTGCACTCAATTCTCTTAACTACATCTGCAAGAGGGCGTTACATTTGACCCGTAGAATTTAATTTGATGACGCAATTGTGACGAGAGAGAGTTACTTGCTGTTAGTGACTAGTTGATGGATCGACCAATCAGAGTCAAGTATCGAAATTATGTGTGTCATCAGTGTAATACATGACAGGAAGAGCCTGGTGTTCAGTAATAACAATTTTTTACTAATATATATTAAGCATTATATGTTTGGATTTGAATTCCATAAATAAATAGAAAAATCATTCCGCATTCCTGTGGGATCACTAATTTTGAGTCATGAAACTTTTAGAAAACAACAATCTCTTTACTGCAAAGTGTGTATCTATCAATTTCTGCTAGTGTTTTGGCGCGTTGCTTCGTCTGTTCACCAGCTCCCCGCGGTCCTGGGTCTTGTTTCTCTCCAACTAACGAAGTGCTCGAAGACTGGCTAGAATCCAACAAAGTCACAGAGACTTGGGCTTTGAGGTTCTGCGAGGAGGCTTGGTTACTGTGTTGTTTGTTCTCAGTTTCTACGTCCTGTTTCTGCTTCACGTACTGAGTCGCTTTGCCGAGAAATATGATGCTGTTTAAAACTTTTACTGACGTTAGGCTGTCAACAAAATACAAACTGATATTACAGTGGGAAGGGTTGGGGCAAAAAGCAGCGCTTTTCATGTTTCAGGGAAATGACCTGGTGTATGTCTTCATGTCCCTCTAATAAAAAAAAATAAAAAAATAAAAAAAAAACCAAACTCTATCATTGTGCAAAAATTTTTGACACCGGTTTCAGTCGCGAAATGCAACACTTGACTTGGGATTTGTACGTTTCTACAGTATTTTGTTAGATAGTAAGAGGCTTTGTCGATTGTAAAACGTTACTTACAAGAAAAATGTGGCCAACACGAGAAACATTCCACCCAGGCCGTGTATCTTCACAGACTGCGCCACTTCCCTAATAACCTGCAAACAAGACCACAACATAATGTCAGATACCAACTAGCCTTCATAGGGACCTTACACAGTCAGGAAGGCAACCCTAGGGAAACGTTCATAAAAAAATATTGATCTTTTCGGCAAGAATTTCGCAAATTGCTCTTACTCTTACTCTTACGGCGCCACACCTCGACTTAAGCATAAGGTATGTGACAAGTGTTGCGGAAACTTAAATAATTCGCGGTCAGGATTTCCGATCTCCCTTCCCTCTCCTCCCTCTATATCTCTCTGAGGCTACTCACCAGGGATCCCAAAGGAAGAGGAATAAAACCCATTCGACGAGAAACAAGATCGAAATGATCATTGTGAGCCTGTAAAATAAAATAATAAATAAGAATTAAAAGAGATGTTTTCACGCGATGCAAAACAAACACCTCCGTCCCTACAAACCTGAGTAAGTAACCGAAACAAAAACCAAACCAGATTAATCACAACAGCTAGTCAGAACAGAGCGAAAAAAAGAGCAAAGAGCCAATAAGAACTCAAAGTAAAAACAAGCAAAGTGCTTGAAGCGCGGGAAAACGCAGGTCAACAATTAGTTTTAATTTGAATCTGATTGGTCGAGAAAGTGGCGCGTGTTTTCTAGATCAACCACAGAGCAACGTGAAGTAAAATTAAACCAATCACAGTTTACTTTTGGCATTCAATTGAAAAATTGGTCCGTAGTCTTCAAATTTATTTCTTCAAGCTGACCCCCTCTTTTATTCATGAAACTTTTAATAAAAGGAAATAGTACTCCGTTATCTTACGTTCTTCTGTCGACTTGAGGTCGCATCTTCAGCAAGGAGAGCTCTATATTCGCAGTAAACCTAAAAATAAGTTAGAAATGATAAAAAGACTAAAGAAGAATAAATTAAGGTCCTGTCCTCGTCTACAATTGCTCGCTTACCGCTAGCTTGAACCGACTGCAAAAAAAAATTGTTTCTCTCCCTGGATAGAATGAAATTCCAATGTAGGTCTCCCTCTTTACCCTGGTAGGATCCCAAACGCTTTGATAGCAAACAAACTCGTCAAGCGCGCCCTGTAAAGCGTGGGAAAATGCCAGGGTTCAAAGAGCGACTGTTGTTTCATTTCATTTGATTGGTCGGGCATCTCCTCAGAGTGCGGATTTTTTTTTTTTTTTTAAGCCAATCAAAGGAAGCAATAGATCAAAACAACTCAAAATGCCGGACTTTTGAAAGCTAACTGAAAAGACATACCTCAACAGGAATATTGTTGAATTTTGTGATAAAAGCGTGTTTGATCCAATCCACAAAATACTCCGAAGACAACACAGCCAACAGATATGGACAGATAACATATAAATGTTCTGAAAATGACAAAATTTAATGAGTAGCCGAAGAAAGCTGAAGAGCAATGCTGCAGATTCTTAAGGCTGTGAAAATTGAGTTTTAATGAAATAAAATGAATGCTCAAAGAAGCAGAGAAATCGGCAGAGATTTCTGTCTTTTACGCAAGGATTCCTCGGTCTTTATTTTAAGCGACCAATGTTGCGGCGAAAACAACAATATCGCATCCGCCCTTTTTGCTTTAATTAGCCTGAGTTTGAATTTGGAGCCCTCCTATTTAGACACCTCCATTCAAGAGACCCCAAGTTAGGTCCCGACTGAAATGTTCTCATGGCATTTCTATCAGTTACCAAGGTTGAAGCGGCACCTCTATTCAGGGTACACTTGTTCCAGTCCCCAACGTGTCCCTATAAAAGAGGTTCCATAACACTCACCAGCGTTCCAGTTAAATTCTGTTAAATTCCTCAGCGTGACAATCACCACCAATACTATGTAGTAAAATCTTTCTCTGATGTCTGTGTATGAAAAAATATAGTCCTGGGCTGGGTTGTTCAAAAGTAGGTTAAGGTAACCCAGGGTTAGTGTGAAATTTGATTTCAGATCTGAAAGCTTTAAAAGAAAATTCACCTTGATTCCATTTGTCTACAATTTGATGATTAAATGCCTTAAAATAAATTGGGAAAATTATCCCAAAACGGCTTTTTATCAGAGAAATATAGAAACCTGGATTAAGATTTAACCCCGGGTTAGTGCTAATCGGCCTTCGAACAACTGGGCTCTGATGAAGAACCATGCGGGATGAAAAAAAACCTACGAGACCTAGATCTTAAGTGTCAACAGGAAACAACAGTTAAACGTTATCGCAATCAGTTCATGAATTTTGGAGCGCGCTTTTCACTCGACAGCTTCGAAATGAGTAACGAAGTAATCAGATCGGCTAAAATCACCAAGAAGCTTACAGATGAAGATTAAAATCAAACAAATGTAAGCAACCTCAAGCTTTAGTTTTGTGCCTAACTGGTTGAGAATTCAGGATAACGCGAAATTTCCAGCTTTATCAAAAGCACTTTTCCGCCAAATAAAGCAGAAGAACAGTTGCGATTCATTTATTCATATTTTTTTTTTTTTTTCAGGTGAGCGGATGCCAATCTTTAAACAACCTACCGCTACACGCCATTTGAAACAAGTTGTTTTTCTCAAATCTCTTGAAAACACTTCCTTTCAGTTCCACAAACTGTAAAATCAAGAATACTAAATATCACCAAAAGGCTTGAATGAGAAATAAACTGCACCCACCAAGTCAATTTTCTCTTAGTTTCTCATCATCAATCAACCGACCAGTGCCCTAGCATCTAGTGCAGGCTACGAAACTACAGTACATGTAACTTTTGTTTTCGTAAGCGCCAAATGACGATTACTCATTCTTGTTTGAATTGACAAAAAGTTCGATTCATAAAACGTTCCCTTCACCAAACGCAAAGTTGTCGAGGCACTTCCTAGTCTCAGTGAGACATATTACTACTCCTGAAAGACAACCGCTAAGTTAAGTTTTAAAGCGAAAAATATATGTAATAATAATAATAATAATAATAATAATAATAATAATAATAATACTATTAAAAATAATAACTTGTATTTATACAGCGCTCATATCTTGAACACATAGCGCTTTACAACAGTGTGCGGGGGACTTTACCAGACTGCTAAGCAGTTTACAATGAAATGAAGGCGATTATAACAGATGCCCCCTCCCCCCAATTCCCAGTAACCAGGCCAGACCACATCACAGTAATCTCGTGAATTGGGTTCTTTAACGTCCCCTGCCTAACCAAACTAACTAATAAATAGATGCAGGAGACGGGACCTCCATTTATTTGTCCCTATCCGAGAAGACTAGCATATCTAACCATTTCTTGATCAATGTTATAGAAAGGTGGCATATTTTTCTCAATTATTTTAAGACGCTGAGTGTTGGTCCAGCCGGGGCTCGAACCCTCGACCTCCCGCACAACAGTCCGGCGCTTAACCAATTGAGCTAACCGGGAGGCGGTTTATATGTATCTATTTAATGCTGTTTCACGTGATGAATATTGACAAGACTTCCAGTAAGGCACCTGTTTACGACTAACATCATTGTCAACAGCCAATTTTCAGTCGTATTGGCGACCAGCTGATCGCAATTTCGGATCCTAATGCGCGCCACATCATTTTCCACAAAAACTAATCTTAAGAACTTTAACAGTAACTTTCTTACCTGGTTTGACACCATGATTACTAACAAGGCTTTGTTGTGTGAGTTCACAGCAACATTGAGACAGATAGCCTGAAACAGCACCAACACCGCATGGAAAACTAAAAAAGTTAAGGCAAATGGCTACATAGGGTTGAGTGGTTCTTTCCTGACCTACATACGGGGTCATACTCCTTGGGATCATCTAATCAGCCCCAGGCCTCCATGCTGCACCTGGCTAGCTGCTGACTGATATTTAGCTGCCATATGACATGACCACTTAGTTTGGTCCGGGGCTTTGTTTCAGTTGTTTGTTTGAACCCCTTTTTTTCTCATGAAAGATACCAAACCAAATTCATTGTCTTGTTTGCTCACTGTGTTGTGCGAGATGGGTGTGGCAGGGGATAATTATGAAGTATATGAGCCTTAACTAATCCACTGAGAAAACATCTTTGCGTGATTCATGTAAAGGATACACACATACACTACAGCCATTACAAAATGTGGAATGATCCCAATGTGTTCCCTTCTCCGATCTTTTGGTTCTGTTGCAGTCCAGAAGAGAGCATCTAAAATGTCTTGACCCACAGATGAAAAGAGTCTGTCTGCAATCTGTAGAAACAAACATGACAAGAATGTTACTATTCCTGAAGTATGAACTTTGCAAATGGAAAATTGGCAATCTAATGCATGCCTGCATCAGCACCTTCTTAATTGTTTTGATGACAAAAGAACTAAAAAGCTGAAAAGTTTCATCTATCTAAACTGCATAATTCTTCTTTTATTCTTGTATCACATTGCAAAATTAAATCTTACGTCAAGAATGAGTCAACCTAGCCCCAATTGAAGAAGTAATACTAGACTATGAGTAGCCCCTCCTTTTCCACAAATTTCATAACGCAAGTCACAAAAAATAGGTGAAAAAAATTCATATCAGCGCACCAAGTGGAGCTCTCTACTTTTTGTGCCTTTCATTCCTGGAGTTCTGCACTGCTCTCTAACTTCAATTTTTTTTTTTACCACTTTCTTTGTGACTTGTGCAGTGGACTGCCAAAAAGGAGAAACTATGCATACTTTAAAGAAGCACCTATCAGATTACCTGAGTACGAAGATTTACTAAATCACGTGAATAAGTTTCATCAACTGTACCTCTAACATGTTGTAAATGACATAAAGTTTGATGACTGATTGTCCACGAACAGTGTGATACAACACCGAGAAATCCACATGGGTTAGAAGCAACCAACAGGTCACAAGAATGGACCCTGTCAATGATTCAGAAAAATAAATACAAAGGTTACTGGAAGATATATGAGAATACAAAAACAGTAGTTAAAAGCAAAATCAAACCTTCTGATAAAACATAGACCTACCTTTTAACAAGTCACACATCTGAACAGGCTGTAGCATCCGTGACCTGTGGAATGAAAAAAATTAAGGGTAACAACCTGCGAGATAAACACCGAAATATTTTGGAGTTATGCTATGGTTGGTGCATGTTAAAAAATTAAGTCAAAATTTTCAAATCCACAGGGCAAGTGGAGTGTGAGAGTCAAGTCAGTCAGTGAGACAAATTGAAAGACTGACTGACTGACCCTCTGAAACCAACGTAACCACAGACTAACAGAGGGACGAATAGACAGACAGAACTGGTTTGAGATGGGTATCAACCAGAAAGCTTTCTTTAGATCTTATCATAAATAGTGTTGGCAAAATGATTTGTTCCATCAATCGCCATGTTGATTTCAGGGCTGTGGTCTAGCAACACCCTGGTGCCTTACTTTTGCTCTTAGGCAACTCAGGAATCTTAGTTTTCTTCATAAAAAGCATACGCTGGGCACCCTAGATTTCACAGTTTCAAAGCACTGGGCTCCCTTCTATTTTTTTAAGAGCACAGTCTTGGATTTATTCAATGGAAAGCTTCAACTTTGAAATACTTCACAGGGCCTTGATATTGTCAAAAGGTTGTGTGTATGGACTGTGACAAATACATTGGTAACGAAGTATCTTGATTGTTGAACAAATTCTCCCATCAGTACCTTAGGAAATGTTTAAAGAACTGTATGGAGAATATGCATACTGATGTTAGGGTGTGAGGGGTTCACAGGCAGACACCAGTTTGAAAAGTAAATTACGCCGCATGGCTCTTTACTTACGTTCTACAAAATAACAGCCCTGTAATGATCTTGTACAGAGCAACAACCAAACGAACTGGAAGGAATGTAAACATGAACAGGAAACAATCCAAACACAACATGAACCCAAACACCATCAACTGCAAAAAAAAAAATTAAAATTTTACTGATAGTCAAATCAAGTTGTTGAGATACAACACGATGATCATGTACTGTTCGCATCTACAGTGTACCTTCTCAAATTCCCTTGGAATCTTCATGAACGTGTACACTTTCTGGCGTCTTTCTGTGTATTTTTCTTCTTCTAGTTCCATGAGCTTTCCACTGAAAACTTCTGCTGTGAAGTACTTCATAAATGACAGCTCTGAAATAGAATTATTATCTTTTAAAAAATTTTCTTTCTTATTCTGAAAGTGCGAGTTTCAGAAATTTTACGCCGTTGACTTACTTCTCAAACCATCACCGAGTTTCTCCTCAGAGGAAGCCTTCGTTATTTGAGGAACATCTCTATGCGGGTCTTTCTGGTATGATTGCATTTCTGGTTCCATTGTTTTTAAGGATTGAAAGTTACTTTTTGGAAATCTAGCTTCTTCATTCAGACAGCCCACCCTCTCCTGTCGTTGCAGTTGTTTTTGTTGCGCTTGGTACAGCTGTTCTTGTTGTTGTAAAAATCTGTGTCTGAACTCTATCTCTTGCGTCTTCTCATCTATATAAAATCCTCCTGGTTTTATCGTATCTTCACGTTGAGTTTCTTCCTCGAAATCCAACGACATTCTCTTAGCAACGCTTTCCTGATTCTCGTATTTCTCATCAACACCAACAGCATATTCGACAGACTCTACGTGATCGTGCCCTTCAGCAGTAGAGGTATTCGGCAAACTTTCGAAGCCATGGTCGGTTTTCTCCTTCAATTCCGTACTGTTTTCGTCAACGGGATTCGAGCATGGGTCAAAAACATCTGTGTGAATAACGACCTCGGTGTCCAAATCGTTAGTGGACGCTGTTGAAGCCGATGAAAGAAAATTTCCCTGTTCTTTTGCAAGATCAGCCATGTTGTTTACGTATTCTCGTTCCCAGAGCCACTGGTTTGAAGAAAGTAAATATCATGGTACGCATGTACGTCAAAATAGTTCCGCTAGCCAGTAGTGTCGTGGTAATGTCACAAAAGTCTCCAGTATCTCGCGGAATTTGTTACCATGACACCTCTGAAAACTTTTTCATGGCGGCATTTCCCGTCGATCTGTAAAGTGCTTTCAGAATCATCAGCAACAGTACTGATGTTGTGATATCATTTGAGGGGAAAATTTTTAGGAAAATGTCTAGAGCACAAGCTGAGAGTGTCATAAAAAATATAATACGTGAAATCGCGCAAGAATGCGCCAACAAAGGCCAGGCGGTTTCGGAAACTCTCGTAGCATTTATGGTAGATACTTTGATGTTGACAAAATATCGGCCCTGTTTTGTCTTTGCTTTGTCCAATCAGTTGAGTTAAACGCTTCCTTCTAGTGTTAATCCTGTGTATTGTATTTAATTTCAGGTTAAAGCAGTAGTCTTGGACCCTGACAATGAATTTAACGTGGACAGAACTTTGACCAAAGATGATGTACAAAAACTCATTATGGTAGGTACAAGATGGCGACAAGATATGCCAATGTATTGTGTGCATTTCATTGTTCAGCTTGTAGTTAAAGTGATCCGATTTGCTTTTTTCTTATCAGTAATAGTTTTGGTGCAACTGTGTATAAACCTGGGATTGGAAAATTCGTCAGAAACAATGTCATCAGATCATATCGTATTTCAATGTACAATTTTTAGCAAAATTAGTTTATCGTCTTTCCAGTCTCGTGGAAACCCTATTAATTTTCACTCTGCTGGAGCGATTTATTCATTTCTCACAAAAATATGCCGAAACTCTAAAAACACCCAACCGGATGAAAATTAATAGGGTTTCCTAACTAAAGGAGAATATTTACCTCCTGCTTATAAAAATTTAATTGTATAACTTTTAAAGGTGGTTTCAATTTTCAGCTGCGCTTTTTTGAAATGCGTTTATCTCTTGGTCCAGCTGTCTCTTCACTGACAGATTGGAACATATTTGATTTGTTTACAGCTTTGTGTGGATAGACTGTTGGACTCACAATCTCCTTCTTTGGATACAGTCAAGATGCAGGTTTATTTTGACATGAATTATACCAGTCGAGGTAGGCACAAATGTTGTCAAATGTTTTTTGGGAATCTGTAGTTAAGATTGCATACACTGACAAATTCACTTTCTCTACTGACTCTTTGCTATCCTTCAGAGGGACAGGATCTTCCCTTCCCCCACCCCCTCCCTCCCAGATCTTGGGAGTATATGGTTAAAAATACCAGTCAAATTTTTGTCTCAGACATCCAGACATGATTCTTCTCTCTCATCTATCATTTCTTTTCCTTATCGATTAGCAATGCATATTTTTTAGTTTAGTTTTTTCATGTGCAGTCAGATTGATTTAATTTCTTAGGTGAACACAAATAAGATCCTAGAATTGAATTCAAATGAATGAACATTCTAATAAAACTGCTGTATCTCTCTTCCTTTTAACCTTGCAGCTGACTTCCTGGAAGAGCATAGGAGGGTTCTTGATCAGCGACTCCAACCAGTTATTAGGGAGATAACTGACAGCCGTGCAAGGACTAGAGATGAATTAGAGGGTCTGTACAGTTGATCATTAATAAAACTTCAAATTTTTGTGAAAAAGTTCCCCTAGGGATAACAATTTTATGACCAAAAATGAGCCAATAAATTTAATTTTTATCTACATGGTAGTCAGGCCAATTGAAACAGGGGTTTTGAAATACTTAGATTTTTCTTCAATGGTGATGGATCATGGATTTCCTTACCATTCATGTTTCTTTTGGTTGGAGTATCAGGCTTAGCTAGTCACTCACAGACTGAGATAATTTTATATAGCCGGTGGATTTCCAAGTATGGGGCTCTCTGGATCTCTCGCATTGGGGGATAGTTGATTTGCAAGGTTAAAAGGTAGTGTTTACATTCGAGCTAAGTGGCACATCCAGACAGAGTTTATCCAGTTCTACACCCCTGGAGCACTATGGCATTCAATTGCAGGTGACTCCCTCGTCATTTTGTCGGGCTTGCTATAAGAGGTTAGTTTTGTAGAACCCACTTACACTCCTAAGTGGAGAAAGGCACTGTTAGGGTGGAGTGTTTTGCTCAAGAACACAACATGAAGTCGTGGCTAGATCTTGAACTCTGACCTCTTAACCCAAAGTCCTGCAGTGTGCTAACAATTAAGCTATGGCATCTCTTTAATGTCTGTTTATGAGCCGAGTGACTTATCAGTCAGGTGTTTAACTTCAGTTTCCATAGCATGAAGCAACTAGGAGTATTTCTACTTCCCCTGGATAGAATGCTAGTCCATTTCAGGGTTACCTCCAGCATTAAATTCACTTGTACCCATCATGAACACCTGGGTGAAGAGGCACTGTGAGTCAGAGTCAAGTGTCTTGCCTAAGAACACCATGCAATATCCCCAGCCAGGGTTTGAACCTGGACCACTGAATCCAGAGTTGAGCGCACCAACCATGAGGCCACTATGCCTCCGCTTATGTTTTCTAGAACACTGTAAATTTTAAATTAATTTATCAAATTTTGTTTTGTCTCCAGGTTTGTACAGGAGAGTGGTCTCATGTGTTTTGCTGCGGTCTGGTCTGGGTTCTCCAACTGACATTGCTGTTGTGAGAGAAGCCACAGGTATTTAATAAGCTTCTGATAAGGTTTCCACTCTATTAATCCTGGACACCCTTATATCAGTATAGATATTCTCCATACTGTTTTCTATACATTTTCTAAGGTGCTGACAAGGAGAATTTGTATAACAATCAAAAACTTCTTTAGTTAGTGATGATTTCCATTATTCTTGTGACCTTGACGCATGATAGCAGGTGGATTTTGGCGGGGCGAGTGGATATTCCTGTCGGTTGTTCAGGCCGCCATCTAGAATTAGAAAAACAGTGGAGAGTTGGGGCGAGGTAAAAATTTTACCAGGCAAGTTGGAGGGAGAGAGAAAAATTGGGGAAGGGGGAGGGGAAAGAAAAATCCTGTTTTCCCTCCCCATCCCCCCACCCACACCGACATTCTCGTATTCTCGCCCCAATTCTCCCAGTCAGCAGCGAATCCAACATGGCGGCTAAACACTCGAAAGATGAAAACCACCAAAACTGCCTGCACTGCAGGCTAAATGCATGATTTAGGGGTCATGTTGTAATGAGAAATGAGATGTAAGTCACACTTAAAGGTCAAAGGGCTCAAAATATCCCTTTTTTTATGGTTCAATAACGAACTCATAAATTGGTTATTGAGTGTGCCGCAGGATTTCTTCACTATGCCATCTGAACATCTGTTAATACCAGTTAATTATGGAAAGGATGTATCTGACTTTTCCTTCATTACGCGGTGTGCTCTAAGACTTTATTAAGCTGGTACATTCTTGTTGTTGCAGCTGCTTTGCAAAGTGTATTCCCACAAACAGAACTGGGAACTTTTATGTCTCTTACAAAGCGTGACAAGGAACGACAGCTGAATGAGCTTGTACTAATTGTGACAGGGATCAGACTTTTTAATCGTGAATGTGGCAAAGGAGGAGAGGGGATCGATGACTGTGAGTTTTGGACTCATTTTCACATCACAAACAGTTTGCTTCTACAGGGTTTTATAACATAACCAAAGCAAAGCGCGCGCTCTGATTGGTCAATTTAGCGTCCCCCATTTGCCCATGGGTGTACGCTGTTGACGTGAGCAAATGCAAAGACTATTTTTCCGCGCGCGCTTGTTTTTTGTGGCCGCTTAAGATTTGTTAAATAAAAGGGAATTCTTTAGCTACAATGTATCAATGTTATGTTATAAAACAAATGGTAAACACCACAGCGTACACTACTGAGTTATGGATACACTTGGGAGGTTTGCTAAGCACTCAAGAAGCTAGAGTCCCTCTCGGCTATCGCCTCGAGCGACTCTTACGCTTCTTTCGTGCTTAGCAACCTCCCGCGTGCATCCATAACTCAATAGTGTACGCTGTGGTGTTTACCATTTGTTAATTGTGAAAGGGCTGGTGGAACGAAACTTTGATAATCACTCTTAAAATTTGAAAGCTGGAAGTCTTTAGCTCATATGAGACCCTGAAACTCTTGACGATGAACAATCTTCAAAAGGCAAACCATTGTAATGTTTTGTATTTTTCTTCGTCAGGGTGGTTCCTCAGAAAAAAAAGTTATCAAAGAATTTTTCCATAAATGTTCTCTGCCAATGTCTGTTGCGAAAAAAATACATCGGTTCACCGTACATTTTGCGGTAGCTGGAAGTAACACTTGAAAAAAACTTGATAGGTCAAAAGTCTCGAGCGTATGGAACAATTTGATATGTAATTTGTGAAAAAATGACGCAATTATAATCGACTCAAAACTTTTCTCGATTCGTTGCTTTTAAGGTCACAATTTGTATCATCAAGTAACGGGCTTCGTGCACACTTTTAGTTTTATCTTTTTTTTCATTTTGGTGAGTCTTTTTCAATTTTCATGATTTTATAGATTTAAATTAATGTACACCAAAATTATGCAATGAAAAATATGGGTTACCACGCTCGTTCTCGAGTTAAAGACCATCGTACCCTTTTACTCATTGATAGAAAAGCAATACCGTGTTCTCGGAGTGCGCGTGCGCGTATACGCCTGATTACGTGATTTTTATGCGCAGTGCAGGATGCATATTGCAATACTGAGGAATCACCTTATGAAGACTCGTTGAAATGCAAACATTCCCTGATATTAAATCCCATATTCCTAGATTTCAAACACTTCTTTGTAATAAACATCTGTTTCTTTTCTTTAGTACCTGCCATATTAAGTGAAGCTGTTCCAGCCACGACACAGAATGTTCAAACAGAAATTCAAAATACAACCAAGCTGGCGTTTAAATATACTGGTAAGTGTTCAAACCAAGGCTAATTTTAACCTGCAATTTTAAAGTTTTGTGTGCTTTCGGTTATTTAGATGGCGCGTTGTAAATGGTTTGAAAAATCATAAACTTTCAAAACAAAGAGAAACATCACAGAGAGCCAATGAGAACTCGATAAGAAATAAGACTGCTGCCCAAAGCGCGGGAAAACGCAAGCGACCAGGTGGTATTGTTTGATTCTGATTGGTTGAGGCGGTAGCGTGAGTTTTTTTAGACCAATCATAGATAGTAGGGCAGAACGATGCAGTTCTGAATTTCTTTGATTCTGATTGGTGGAGATGATGGCGTGTCAGCTTTCTCTGGCAATCACATAACAAAGGAAAGTAAAACCAAAGCATTCTCGGATAGCTTTAACACTCAATTGTAAATTGCTTTAATTTTGTCGGTTTTTTTTTTTCTTTAGCTGTTACTCAACTGAAAGTTCTGATTTTTTTTCTGCAGCGCTAGTTGAAGACGTTGTCGCTAACAAGAAATCACCGGAAGGATTGAATTTAAACTTTATTAAAGAAGCTTTGATTAACACACGGCAACATGAAGCATTTCTTTCCATCTTATTGGTGAGTTCCTAGCGCTCTATATGGAAAATTTTATGGCTTACTCTTTTCTTGAAAGGTCTATCTGTTTATCGTGTTTTCATGTTAGCTATTACTGAATTCTTTCTTTTTGAAGAGATTCACCTGCTCAAGATTTACCTCGCTTAAATAACATGTTGCTTTGGCGAAGGTGTTGGTATGAAGCGCCACAGAAAATGTCAAAAAGTTAGTAGTTAGAGCAATTTTCAATCGCGCCTTGGTTTCCGCGTTTTCCCGCGCTTGTCTTTACTCTGATTTTCGATTGGGTTCTTGTGATACTAAGCACTCTTCTGATTGGCTGTTGTTTCCTCTTTTGGTCTCTGACACCCATTTGAAGAGTACCCTGCCCAGTATACTTGTACGCTAAACCAAAAATTCATTTGGGTTTCCGACTAAACCTGTTCTTTGGAGTTTGTCCTCGTCTTCAAGTGTGTAATACCTTTATAATCCATTCACATCTCTATCAACAGAATGATGTCGTTGGCTGTGCACAACAAGTAGAGGCCCTTGAATCTCAGTTTTCAGCCGGAATGGAAGCTTTGAAAAACACAGTACAGTCCAAAACTGCTGTGCCTACGGCTCAAGTTTATGTAAGTACCCTCTACAAGAGATAGTAAAGCGACCTTTATTTTCAATGTTTCTGTAATATTGTCAATTTTAACTACAATAATTTGCAGGTAAAGCTACGAAAAAAGGACTACATTTGCATTTAGCACGCTCGCTGTAGAGTCTGTGCAGTGTTTGATCGTTTTCCTTTTTATTATTTATCACTGTTAGCCCCAGTTTATCACACTGGCTCATTTGTGGACTGGCTTTCAAGATGAAATGGTCCTTTTAAGTGTTCTTAGTAACATCTTAGCGAGTTTGGAACCCTTCACTAAGGTAAGGGGAGTATTTTCAATTTGTTTCGAAGTATCTAGACACGATGCAAGAGTGGAAGTATTTTGTTAAATACTGTGAAGTTAATTTCCGAGGAAATTTCTTTCCTTTCAAAGATACACAAGGAAGTGTTAACAGAAGAAGTCTTACAGCCATTCACTGATGGATTGGAAATCAGAACTGATGATCAGAGACTAGCAGATGTGAGTGGTTTTCTTACTTGAGAATAATGACATAGAAATAGAAATTTACCGGTGGAAGTTCCACTGGGTGGCTCTTCTTGTCCACTGTTTCCAGGTCGAATTGGAATTTGGAATGTTGGTTTTTACAGAGGGAAGGAAACCGAAAGACCCGGAGGAAAACCCTCGGAGCAAGGACGAGAACCAACAACAAATTCAACCCACATGTGGCACCAGGTTCGGGAATCGAACCAAGGCCAAAGCGGTGGGAGTTGACCGCGCCGTGCCCGCTCTCCCTTGATCAGTAGTAATCTGAGTTCCGTTGGCTTTCACGCTAAGCTACGTCCTATGACTTGTCGAGAATAATTTATTTTTCTCAGGTTAATTATTCTATTTTATTTCTATCAGAGTTCTTCAGACGATTATAGAATTGATCGCAAAGAAATCGAGAATCCCAAGATTGAACTATTGTTTCATGAGACTACAAAGAACTTCGACAAGCTACCGATACAGTACCGGGTCAGTATGTAACAATATTATACGCCCTTTCTCCCTGGCCAGTGTAGTCCACTGCATTAGTCAGTGGGAATCAGCGAATAACAAAAGCCAAGTCCGAGCTGCGTGACCTTAAGAAGCACTACGCGTGCGTGGATCGCTCTAACAGTCGCGTAGCGCTGGTTTTTTTGTTTTTTTGTTTGTTTTTGTTTTTGTTTTGGCCGATTTCTATTAACTCGCACGACAGAGTATGCACGTGGTCTATGAAAATATAAATGTTGTCGGCAAGCTCAATAAAGCAGAAACTTTCGTCATATCAAAGGCAATAAGTACTGATATATGGTCCCGGCTGGCGATATGTTACTGAGCCGTGCTAAATTTTTTATTCATCTTAAAAAATTAAGCTAAAATTTTTGTAGTTTGTCATTTACAATCCCTGTGAATCTCAAATCATTCTTATTTATCTCTGGTCTATTTTATCGTCTTTGTTGCTTGTCTAACCTAACAAATGATCATTTTAAAGTTTTTACTCTCATTCTGGTTTGACGCAGTTTGATGAGCATTTTGTTATTTCCATATTCAGGGTTTTTGTGGATGGTCGCTTGTTGTGTACGATCGTTTATTGATCCCATCCAACCCAGGGAATGGTGTTCTACGTTATAAAGACAGTTACTACGCCTTCTGTGACAAACAAGCTGCTTACGAGTTTTCCAATGCTCCCGAAAGGTATAAAGGCTACTTCTTGAGGCTTCTTTGTTCGCAATTTTGTTTGTACTTGAGAGCAATTTTAAACTATCAGCTATCGCCTTGATTCTGCTTCACCTCGCACGTGATTCGTGTGGTAAACTCGTACCTCCCTTTCAACCCATCAGAAGAAAAGCTGATCATGAGAATTTGATGTAATTTGCCGAGATTACTTGCAAAACCTAGACCGCTACAGGCTCGTTGTCTACGATAAAACTCATACGATTACGAACGTAGTGGACTAGCCTAGTCGTTACTGTTAGCCGTGTAATCGTTTGCCACGATATTGTTTCCAATCCCTTGGCAATATTCCCCTTAAAAGATGTTAGTGGCAGTCTAGGCAGGAAAATGTTCAAGTTACCGAAGAAATAGACTTGTTAATGAAAAAATGGTTCTGGGAAGGATTGTTATCTTGTTGTTGACTAGAAACAATACTCTCGGCTAAAGAAAATGGGAAGGGCTTCAGACAAAATTCTACTCCAGCTAGTTTTTCCGAAATAACTGTTCGTCATTAGTATGTTTTCTAAGTGTTGCAAAAGGTTTTTGTACTGAAGAATGCATTCAACGAAAAAACATTGTTGAGTGAATGCAACTTGTCTAAAAAACATCCTCTCTGTGTTTTTCTTTGAAGTTACATCAATGGAGTCGCAGAAGCGGCTAAGAAGTCTCCCGAACTTATTCAGCTTCTGGAGCTGCACACACAGTTTGCTTCCATCACACCGTACGCTCAGGTAATCTAATGACTACTTTGGGTCTACTTACAGATTTTTTAAGAAAATCTAACAGTGTTGACCTCTCCAATTGGATTGACACGTTAAACAGGAACAGTTTAAATACAGCGGTTACTCTTGCGTTTGAATTTTCTCTACGACAGCTCACATGAAATTTCCCTTCAGTTTACGCTTGCCTTAGCATCTCACGTGTGAAGTACGTTTAAGAGATGCAGTTTCAAGTAAAACGAGAAGAAAAGTGTGTACTCATTTGAGCGGCGTTCGCAAGACGTTTATACAAGTAACAGTAGCGTAGCTAAGGTAGGGGTCGGGGAAGTTGGGATACCTCCACTCTATCAGACTTTTAGGGTTTTATGCCACTTGTCGTATGCAACTACACAATATGAAGTATCACACGTCACTTTTCCTTCATGTTTTTCAGTTTGTTCAGGCTATGATAAAAAAGAAAAAAATTTGGGAATCAGAGTTAAGACCTCCCTCCCCGGCCTGTCTGATCACACTATAACTTATTTACAAGAAATTATAAATAGTTTATAATTCAGTCTTGTTAACAAGGTCTACAGAATGTCTGTAGAAGGTACTTACGAATGTGACAGTCAATAAGAATTTTTATATTGATCTTGTGCATCAGGGTAAAGAACCTGGGCGTATGATTGAGGCGCCCGTTACAAAGTGTGACAGTGGAACACAAACAGACACTCACTTCATGGAGACAAATATTGTCAAGTCTTACGAGTGGAATGAATGGGAGCTGAGGAGGAAAGCTCTTAAACTGGTGGGTTGGAATTAGGACGCATTTTATCATCAAGTTTTCCTGTGCAAGATCTCTTAATCTGAAGTGCAGGCGAGTTTTTAGCGAGCAAGCACTCAATATTGCTAAATGTGTTATCACCATCTTGGATTTCTGAAACAGAAACAGATTGGAGAGAAAAAGAACGTTTCTAGCCAGGGCCTGAGTGAACGACAGTCAAAGGAACGGGGGCTGATGGGACAGAAAAAGCGTCTCGTCTTATATCTTCCCTCCCTCTTTTCGTGTAGTCTCCAGCAGTACGTCTGTACTGCAAGCTTAGATCTTGTCACTTCATGGGAAAGAGTAGCTCGATATATGCACTAGACTACGAGAGTGAGGCGCTCCAAAATATAGCCTCACTCACAGAACTCCCGTGGCGCGTCGACGTCAATTTTTTTCCCTTGAACTCGCGCGACCGGGCTTCGCCGAAAAGAAAGCTTGTCTCACTGGTGCAGAATTGGAAACCCTCATTATCAAGTTATCTAAATTATTGTTAAATTTCTTAACAAAGCAAGGCAAGGAAACTTGTCAAGACAACTTGCGGAGGAAAATTGGTGTGATTACGGCTTTGGTGAGGGATTTCTACATGTGCTTCAAACTTATCTTTTTTTCTGGCTTGTTTCTACCGTTACAGTAAGAGAATTATTTCTTTAATTCAGGCAAATCTCCGCACCAAGATCACTCATTCAGTGCAGACGAATTTGAGTAACTTTAGGAGAGACAATGACTCCCAGGTTTACCTCCCAAAGTGAGTACTTATATCTTTTAAACAACCCTTCACGAGTCTGTTTTTTTTTTAATTGTAATCGTTATTAGTTGAAGTTTTGACGATACTTTAAATGTTTTTTGCTACTTATTCACTTACCTGGGAAATTAAAGAAAGCCTTTCTTTATGAAGGAGATAAGTAAACGGTGATTTAGTAATCAAGAACCGTTCTCAGATTTGTCAGAGAAAACGAAGAAAAAGAAGACACCAAAAATGTTTGCTGGGTCACAGCTTGAGACATTGAATCTTTTGCGTTAATCACGGCAATCACTGACGTCACAGTCACATTTGCTGACGTCAGAGATTTCTACGCGCGGAAAATAGCAAATTGATATAAAGAGCAGTTGAACATTCGGGTGAGAATTGAATTGTTAGATTAATTAAAGAAAAGGGAGTTTCTCGCATAGCTTGCCTTTACAACCTACCCGAGGCGCTCACGCTCGTTCTGATACAAGCTTATTGCGTATGAATAGGACGCGTGGATGGCTTGTCTTTGAAACTTACCCGAAGCGCGCATATTTCTGTCCTTATTTCTCGTCGCTTCTCAGAGGTACTGAGATTGCCTTCATTGTTATTTACAGGAATGTAGAGACACAAACCAAGCGAGAATCATCAACAAATGTTCCGAAACCGTCCACGTTCGTAGCTGGCTTGCGAGGCTGCAACTCGACCAAAACAACAATGAATATTGTGGACCTCACTCTAGATGTTGATCAAACTTAAGACACGTCGTATGCATGTACACCACTAGTTGTTCGTGACAAACACTTTGTAAATAATATTTTGCATTAATAAATTCTTTGTTCAGTTTTGCAAAAATAAAATCAGTGTGTTGTTACATGTATTAGTAATTAACCTCGTTGACTGGAGCTGAGCCGTAAAGATGTTCAAAAACTAATTTTGAACAGCAGGAGTGCCAAAGGTCAATCAAACTTAATGGGGCCAATTCATCCCTTTAAGCAAAAGAAGAAAAACTTTAAAAATCGTGCAACTCTATAAATTTCGCCACTAATGGCCAAAATTACAAATCGGCCACTAATGGCCTGAATCACAAATCGGTCACGAGTAGCCAAAATCGCAAATCGGCCACTAAAGGAAAAAACGCACATCGGCCATTGGTGGAAAAAATCGCAAATTGTCCACAAGCAGAAAAAATTAATCATCCACTAGTGGCAAAAATTGCAAATCGGCCACCTGTGAAAACAATTCCAAATCGTCCACAACTGGAAAAAATCGCAAATCGTCCACTTGTGGCCCAAATTGCAAATCGTCCACTACTGGAAAAAATTGCAAATCGTCCACTAGTGGCCCAAATCGCAAATCCTCCACTAGTGCCCAACATTCAAAATCGGCCACTAGTGGGCAAAATTCCAAATCATCCACTAGCGGAAAAAATCACAAATCGTCGACTAGTGGAAAAAATCGCAAATAGGCCACAAGTGGCCAAAATTGCAAATCGTTCACTAGTGGGCGAAATCGCAAATCGTCCACTAGTGGCAAAACTGATTACAAATCGTCCACTAGTGGAAAAAATCGCAAATCGTCCACAAGTGGCCAAAATTACAAATCGTCCATTAGTGGCGAAAATCGCAAATTGTCCACTAGTGGCCAAAATAGGAAATTTTCCACTAGGGGCAAAGATGGCAAATCGTCCACTAGTGGCCAAATTCGCAAATCGTCCACTAGTGGCCAAATTCGCAAATCGTCCACTAGTGGCCAAAAGTGCAAATCGTCCACAAGTGGCCAAAACCGCAAATCGTCCACTAGTAGTTAAAATCACAAATTGTCCACTAGTGGCCAAAATCGCAAATTGTCCGCTAGTGGCCGAAATCGCAAATCGTCCAGTAGTGGCCAAAATAGCAAATTCTCCACTGGTAGCCAAAATCGCAAATAGTCCCCTAGTGGTCAAAATCGCAAATTATCCACGGTAACGTTTAACTTGTACTTTCTACGGTTTTCTGTTTACAGGGTCTTCGTTTTCGTTTTCGTTTTCGTAGTACGAAAACGAAGACCGGGTCTTAGGTCTTAGGTCTTCGTTTTCGTAACACCCAGCCCAAACCTGCTAGCTCAAATTTCGTATTATGTAATGTATTTGTCTTCAATAGGTTTTGGTTCAATGGGTTTTCGTACGATGGGATTTTGTACGATGGGTTTTCGTACGATGGGTTTTCGTTCAATGGGTTTTCGTACGATGGGTTTTCGTACTA